CCGATAGACACAAACAAACTTAATTAACAATCAATGATAATGATGATCCCGCGAAGTAATACCTATAACAGCTTGGTACCTAGAGGTGAATCAGCATCCGCACTAATAAGATATTATCACCTTAAAGTTATATACTTATCTTGTGCTTTCGATACTTTACTACTCATTTAAAAAAAAGAGAGAAAAAATAAATAGAAGTACCTCCATACAGATAGATAAACCGATTGAAGCACTGATGAAAACACAGAGAAATATACAAACAAATAGAAAAGAGGATGTGGTCAGACATATACTCAAACAAAAGATAGAAAAAAGTCATAAAGACGCATATTACTAAATTAATCCATTTTCTTGTACACATCATGAACCCATAGGATTTTTTAAACGTTACCCAGTTAACCCTTATTCTGTAAATGGTGTTATAATATGTTTATTTTATTAAACAACTTTTTTTTAGATTCATCCGTAAAGGGAAAGTTGGAGGTTATAAGGACGATTTGACTGCTGAAGACATAAATAAAATTGATGATTGGATGAATAGTGAACTTAAGTCACACAATCTAATTTTGAATGATTTGCTACTTCAGAATAATTAAAAAAAAAAAAAATTAATGAAATAATAATTAATTATATAGTAATAAATAAGGTTTTACAATACAATATCGTAGTGTACTGCTCATGTCTGAAATACATCAAAAAAATTCTATAGTTTGTGTTCGCGATCACAAACACAAACAGTACACTAAAAATGAAATCGACATATCCGAAACACTAAAATAGTGACTACTTCCGATATTTCCTGTAAAAAAAATTTTTTTCTCAAATATAATATACATAAGGGCAATATGACAAAATGTGATTTTTGCTACTATTTAATGAATAGTATTATTTAAAAAATAATAATATATAATTCTTTGTTTCAAAAACTACACTTTTTAACACGAATTAATTATAAGATGTATATAATTTATTAAATGTAATGTATGGTTTAAAAATGATATTAGTGATCAAAGTGTTAGTGATCTCTAGGTATTTTTTATTGTTTATATATACTGTAGTCGTAGTCTACATATATACATATTTCTTTTTATCACACATTAAATCAATCTTCAACTTCATTTTCTATAATAACTAAGTTAGATATACATAATGTTGTCATTATTGAGGAATAATTTTACCAGTGGGCAACTTTCTAATTTTGAGCAAGCTACGTCGATCAGTTGGTGTTTGATAGCCGTTCAAAGCAGAAAACCTCGTGAATTTTTACGAAAATGGAAAAAAGTGAATATCGTGTGCTGATTAAGCATTACTGGCCAAAATCCACGAATTGGGATATGAACCCTATCCAACATATTCTCCAGATTTAGCCCCCTGCGACTATTTTTTGTTTCCAAACCTAAAGAAATGGCTGGGCGGTAAGAGATTTGAGTCGAATGAAGGAGTCATTACCGAAACAAACGCGTATTTTGAGAGCTTTGAGAAAACCTATTATTTGGAAGGATTAAGAAAATTAGAAATACGCTGGACTAAATGTATCGAGCTAAAAGGTGATTGTGTAGAAAAATAAAATGTTTATTTGCCATAAAAAATTTGTTTTATTCAAAAAGTCACTGACTTATCAAATCGCCCTCGTATATCTTTCACTTAGTAATTTAAAGTTTCTCATCTACAATATATTTGAGAAACTGTTAGCAAGTCTGGACAAATCAAATAAATTAACATATCAGTTTGGGTATAAATAATTTATAGTATATCGGAACTATATCATCTAATAGTCAACATAATTATTGAAGCTTTTAAAATTTAAAAGTATCGTTTAATTGTCCATCTAATCCAAGTATCGTTTAATTGTTCAAAAGAGTTTTAAGAAAGTGTGACACCAAGGTGCGTTGTTTAAGATAAGGTCACACTATAGTAATAGATGCCTATATATCAAATAGCAAGTTACTGCATTGAATCCCATTGTGCAATATATGGGAGTTTACTGTACAGGGACTTATTTTTTACAATACCTTATAAGCGGATTAACTTTTTCTGGCTCCACCTTTTATTGCCACCTACAAATATGAGGCTGCATTTATCGGATGAAGCGAACTATCAGTAGAAATCTCTCAATCTGTCACAATGGAATTAAACTTGGTATTTACTTTAATCATAGATTGATGTGGAGTATACCTAAATATGGTAGCTAAAAAAATTGCATTGTTCGCTTAAATGATTTAGTTAATTTAAAGAGTGAAATAAATAGGTTTTAGAACACAAAGCAGTTTTGAAATATTGAAGTGGTTCCAGTCAATCCCACTACAAATGATATCAATGTTACTGGATTTGAAATTAATAGTCAATAAAATAAAACGAATAAGTTGCAGATACTTTTAGATTGGAATCTTAAAAAAAATTTTTCTATTCGTCAGCACTAAAACAACAAAATAGTCGAGAAGAAATCATATTTTAGGCCTATAGAACCTAAACAAAGGTTCGCTCTTATCAAAGCGTTGTGTAATTGTTAACTTCCATATCTTCTCAGTTTCAACAAATTTTATATATATTATATTAAGATTGTATAGATGGGTAGTAATAAGATCTTAAACTATAAATATAAGCTAAGAATCGTATTACTGCAAAATCTTTTTCTTATCAGTTTTACAAGTTTGTTTATATGATATTGTGATAAGATAAATAGGTGGTGGTAAGATTTATTATGATAACTATACAAAAGATTAATTGTTTCTGTTATATAAATCAACGAGTTCATAATATCTAGATATTGCTTACAATGATATATTCCAAATGAAACTACATTAACAATAAGCATGTTACTGAATTTTAATCCAGTTAAACCTGAATATAATAAAATACAGTACAAAATATTTTGCCAAAACGTCCTCAGTTATCTGCTAATCACTTTTCCCCTAAGAAGATTTTTACAGGTTTTTTACTACTAAAACCGTTCAAGGTAGCGTACCATATAGTGTGACATAGATTTATTAAAATATTCCACTGATTCCGTAATTTTATTTGTTTTTAGTAAAATTTTAGTATGTAATTACCATATTTATATGTCTGATAACAAAACAAGTCCCAGTTGATATTCCATGAGATTCTGTTTTTACAAACAAAAACCTAATGAAATACCGAAAATATTTTAGTAGTTACAGAATCATTGTTCATTTAACAAGAAATCAGATCAAATCTAAAATAAGAAAAAAAAAATTATTAAAACACAAATCTGAAATGGAGCGAGAGAAGATTATCCCAAAAAGTTATCCATCCAATGTATTAAATCAAAATTGGAGTCAGAGACCTATTTACAATAAAACAAATAGTAAAAAATTTCTGAAAGCCGTCAATGAAATGGAAGTCAGAGACGATGATGTCTGGTTAATCACATTACCTAAATGTGGTACCACTTGGATGCAGGAGCTGGTATGGTTAGTTTTAAATAATTTTGACTTCGAAAGTGCAAAACAAGAACATTTGGAGCTGAGATCAAGATTTTTAGAGTAAATATTCAAAATTAATATATATGTATATTATTTATTATGTTGGGCAAAAAGTATTCGGAGTTTTTTCTGTTTTCACAAATTTTAAATATGATGGCTTCAAAACGATTAGTTACAACAACTGATTTTTAATTTTTTGTTTGCCAGATGATTGATTTCATCTGAAAATGCTAAATACTTTTTGCCCAGCCGTGCATATGATAATTTACTTTTATATTTTTTATTTAATGGTAACGACATTGATTTCATATATATTTCTTTGTTTATTTATCACTTCACAATTAGATTCGAGGAAGTATTATATGATGGTGAAGGCAGTATAATAAAATATAGTACAGAAATGAAATCTCCACGGCTTGTAAAGTCACACTTACCATTACCTTTACTACCATCACAACTTTGGACTAAAAAACCTAAAGTAATTTATTAAATTTGAGTACTCATTAACAATAATATTATATTTGTATGTATTTTTTAGGTTATATACGTTTTTCGAAACCCTAAAGACGCCATCGTTTCATTTTATTATCATTTACGGAGATATAAAGAGACTACTTTCTTGAATCTAACAGATTATGCTCAAGATTTTATCAATGAAGATATGTTAACACATCAACACTTCTTACATGTCACTGAGTTCTATGCCTTGAGAGAGGAACCTTGGATTTATTACACAAGTTATGAGCGTATGAAGTCTGATCTACGATCTGTCATACAAGATGTTTGCAAATTTCTCAATAAAAATATTACAGAAACACAATTGCAGCAAATGTTACATCATTTATCTTTCGAAGAAATGAAAAGTACGTTGTACTTATAACATTTTTATCAGTCGATCATATATCAAATTGTACTGTAAATAATTCTATTTAAATATTTTTCTTAAAAGATATAGTGTATAGTTCCCAATAGTCTAATAGATTTTATATTAATGTGTTTTTTAACTATTTCAGTTTATAAAAAATGATAGAATAGTAATAATAATTAATAAAATATATATACAAAATTCTTTGCAGATAATTCAAAAACAAACCATATATGGGAAGCGCAACAACTCTGCCGAATATTTAATAAAGAAATTGAAGATGTGAGGTAAAAACAAGAAATACAGCTTTAGCTCTGCAAAAGCTACGATATCACTCACATTACAAACTCATTAGTTACCATTTTCAGATTTCAGATTTACAAGCTTAGATATACTAATTCATGTTCTGTAGTTATTAAATATGAGCGCTGCAATATATAGTAGGCGTATAACCGTTACCAATATAATCGCACTCATACGGAAACTTGTATTCTATTATGTAAAAACTGAGAGACTGATTTGTTGACTGATAGGTAGAGCAGAAGCTTTTGATAGGTAGACAGAAACTTATGGCTTAAATGCAAACCCAGTGATTGAAATGTTACTTAAGACAACTGCTGCTTTAAATATAATCTCAAGGAAGTCCCGTTTCGACCAATATGTATCTATATAGTTGAGACTACCGAAAATAACACAACCGAAAACCTAATAAGGCATATGTGCATATCGTCCGATAATTTGAATGCAGCTAACTGTTATGCAAACCATATTATAAAGAAAAACTAACTAACTGATACATACAAACAAACTAAGTTGACATTCAATGATCACGATGACACCTCGAATACCTATTAAAACTGAGTATGGAAGAAAGAGATATCAACACGCTAAAGGCACACAATAATTTAGGCTTTCGATATTTTACTCTTGCTTAAAAATAAGAGAAAAGAAATTAGTAGATAGACATATAGATAAATAGACAAATATATAGATAGACTGAAACACTAATAAAAACACACTAGAGAAACAAATAGACAATGGGGAGTGGAGTGGCATATAATCAAATAAGTAGACAGAAGTGCAGACATGAAGACTGAAAATACTAAATTTATCCATCCTGACATACCCATCAAGAATCCATACGCTTTGTTATACAATAAATATTTAGTCAACTGTATAATAAATAGAAGTTTTTTTTATTTTAATAATTCTTTTTTTAGTTTCATCCGTAAAGGAAAAATTGGTGGTTATAAGGACGATTTAACTGATGAAGACATAAATAAAATTGATAATTGGATGAATAATGAACTTCAGTCTCACAATGTTGGTTTGGATGATTTGTTGCTTCAGAAATAATAAAATAACTAATAATTATTATAAAAAAGTCTTCATATGTACTTATGAAAGAAATATATTATTAAAATTATTGCTTGTCATTTCTTCTCTTCTTACTTAGTGCATAACTGTCATAATATTCGATGATTTCAATAATTTAAACTTCCCTATTCATAGTAACATCAATAGACTATTAAAATTTTAAAATAAGATAACATAGTGAATATGATTTTTAAGGTTTCGGGTTTTGAAGTTGTGAATTTTCAACATTGATTACGGTACCAAAGGAAAGTAATAGATCGCGCCATCTAGTGAAAATTTGTACATGCAATTTCTTCATTGGGTATAGAGACGACGTCCACTTGTTGTCAATGTTTTTTATATAAATAAAGAAATACTAAAACCAGTTCCACAGAATATTTACTATAGTTCGCTGTTTATAGGGTTGCTACTCGGTAATCGGAACCATTTGAAAAACTGTGTAAACGTAAACTCCTTACAATTCTATAGAATATTTGTTTTCACAGGTTTTAATTCACTAAACAGATTGTTTATCATTAAAACAACTAAGAAAAGCTGTTTTATTTGAGGTGGTTTAGATAATACAAAACTCAGTAGTGATAATAAACCTCATTGGTCTGTGGCTGTTCTCTGTTATTTACCATTTGTAAAGAGATAAGAACAACAAATAAACAAAGCTTTTACTAACAAAAATGCAAAGCAATACTGAAAATATTTTAGTAACTGAAGAGTTGTTGTTGATTTAACACGTAACGAAATCTTTCAATATTAAAATAAAAATAAATACATATTTTATAAAATACAAAACCATAAAATGCGAGAGGAAGTGGTTGTGCCAAAAAGTTATCCAACAAATCTTTTAAATAAAGATTGGAGCAAGAGGCCCTGCTATTTTGAAAAAAATGGCGAAAAATTTCTAAACGAAGTGCATGACATGGAAGTCAGAGATGATGATGTCTGGTTAATCACATTACCCAAATGTGGTACAACTTGGATGCAAGAACTGACATGGTTGGTTTTAAATGACTTCAATTTTGAGATCGCAAAACAAGAATATTTGGAATTGCGGTCACCGTTTTTAGAGTAAATATAATTCATATATATATAACAAAATATAATATGTATATCAAATTCCACTCAACTAGATTTGAAATTGATTTATATGACGGTGAAGGTAGTATATTAAAAAATGTTACTAAACTAAAATCTCCACGACTTTTAAAGACACATATGCCGTTACCTTTATTACCACCTCAAGTATGGACCAAAAAACCTAAAGTAAAAAAAATTTATTTCAAACAAAAAGTATTTTTAATTTTACTATACACTCCTTATAGGTTATATATGTATTTCGGAACCCCAAAGATTCCATAGTTTCGCAGTATTATCATGTTCGCAGGTATGGCGGCGCTTCAGATGTAACTCCAACGGAATTTGCACAAAATTTTATTAATGATGAAATGTCAACCCACCAACACTTCTTACATGTCACCGAGTTCTATGCGTTGAGAGAGGAACCCTGGATTTATTACACAAGTTATGAGCGCATGAAGTCTGATCTACGATCTGTCATACAAGATGTTTGTAAATTTCTGAATAAAAATATAACTGAAGCTCAAATGCAGCAAATGTTACATCATTTATCTTTCGAAGAGATGAAAAGTACGTTGCACTCATGAAAACTTTATCAATGCTTTTCAATGCAAAATGTGTTTTATAAAGCATTGTTATCTTTTGTTATTCTCATGAGAAAAAAAATATTTCATATATAAAATTATTTTATTGTTTATTAATTAAAAAATGAAAGTGAAGTACCAAAAACATATATGATTTATATACAATAGTAAAAATTTTTAACAATTTTACCTACTATGTCTTTAAAAATAGATAATACAAGAACCAATCATATATGGGAAGCAGAACAAGTACGTCGTATATACAACAAAAAAACTGAAGACATTAGGTAATCTATCATTATATTCATCAAATACTGTAATAAAAGTATATAATAATTATTCTTTAAGTTTCGTACGTAAAGGTAAAGTTGGAGGTTATAAAGACGATTTAACTCCAGAAGTGATTGATAAAATCGATATTTGGATTAATGATGAACTTAAACCACATAATGTCACTTTAAATGATTTGTTATTACAAAATAATGAAGAGAAAGATAATTAATAAATAAATTTATAAAAATATGTTGTTTTATATAAAGAAAGAGCTATAAGATATATTGAAGTTATGTTTTAGAAATAATGCGTATTTTTATATGAAGCTCTATTCACATCGGACAGCTCTATAAGCATAGCGGTGAGATATTAGTATTGCGACATACAGAATATGGATACAAATCCCATTAAGTTTTGGAGCAAAAAAATGCCTTAAAAAGTGTTTAAAAAAAGAATGGCATAAAACTTCAACTACACCTAAAATTCGCAAAAAACAGCTATTACAAAAATATTTATATGAAGTTTTTACTATACCTAGTATTTGGTTTTAACTATATCTGGCATCGCTATGTAAGTTTATATATTTTTAAAAAAATTGAATATTAAAAACAACCTATTACTTTGGATAATTTTAACCTCAGAGTCAGCCCACTTAAATAATTCTCAATGAAATAGAAAATAATAGAGTAAGCACACTTAATCCAAGTCTTAATTAAAAGTAACCTAATAATCTGGTGAAAGGTACCATAGATATGTTAAAGATGATTGCAAAAATATTTTGATTTAAACTTTTTAACATATTCTTCACCCATAGAAAACATTAGACGATGGCTTTTTCTTTACAATATGTAGACAACATCTACCCTAAAATCTACTTATCCAGAACACCCATATCACAATGTTGGTTTATATACGTTGTATGCAATTTCAACAAATTATTTAAGTAGTGAAAAACACATTATCAATGAAGGAAACATTACTGATCATTATCCGATAAAGCAATATATTTTCATTTTGGACTCAATATATAGATTCGATACAATTTCTTATGTAATTAGGCAGTAAATATTGATGGCACTGTTGTATAGGAGAAACAATCACCTAGGTAGACAACTCATATCAGATGAAAAAACAGAATTCTGTAATATAGGTTAGCCTGCGAGCTTATCTGGTCTGATGAGCGATGATCTAAGTATTATGCAAATTGAAATTCCTTAGTGAGGGACCTTACCTTACTGACGTATAGATGACCTCATAAAGAAAACCGATTTTGTTAAAATCGTTTTTAGTTTGGATTCTAGTTTGTTCATAAACTGGACCTCATAAATAATACCGATTTTGTTAAAATCCTGTTTACTTCGGACTCCAGTTTATTATCCTTTTTAGTTTGGACTTCAGTTTGTTCATAAAATGGACCTCATAAATAATACCGATTTTATTAATATCCAGTTGACTTTGGACTCTAATTTATTCATATATATGTGGGTATATACCTCACCACATTAAAAATTGGTTCAATAGAAACAACAAATTTGAGCTTATAATTAATATTTATTTATTTTTAAATTTTAGTATAAAAAACTATAAAACATACAAAAAAATTTGTTTCCAATATATTTTTAACAAAAAAAAATTTAACAAAAATATGCGCATATTTTTATTAGATTTTTGATATTAAAGAATTAAATTGTTAGCAGTCCATTGTATCGGGAATATTTGTTTAAGCAGTAGATGTTTCTATTTTCTTAGCGTTATCCTCTTTTGAAGATGGGCCAGTTTGAGAAATTGGTACAACACGTTCAGTATTTGGTGGTGGCAATTTTTTCATTGGTGCTGTTACAGTCAAAAGACCATCTGAAGATAAAGATGAGCTCACTGAATCGGGATTGACATCACCTTCAAGAAAAATATAAACATAATTATTTGAACTTCACGAATTGTATACTATATTCTCAACATACTTGGCAACATATAACGTCTGGAGAATTGTCTAGAAACGTAACCATGTTCATCTTGTTTTTCCTCATGTTTGCCTTCAACTAGTACAAATTTATCGGTGACCTTAACACTGATCTCATTAGGGGAGAATTGCTGTACATCCAAAATAACTTCGAATTTCTCGTTATCGATATTCAAAGTTGAGCCAGATTCTTGCTTCTGCAAGCTTGTTGGCGAACGTGACCATGGGCGCAAATAACCTGAACGCAACATCGTTGGACGTGAACTCCAAACAGAAGACAGCAAATCATCGCGTCTAAATAGACAATTTTTTTTGTATTTTTATAAAACGTTTTCACTTGGGTAAAATTAAATACTGTTGGTTATGGAGAACTTACTTTAGTCCTGTGCCAAAATGTTGATCAAACAGGCGCGATGAGCGCATTGGAAAATCAAGTTCATCCCACCAATCACGGAACATTAGAGGTACAACTGACATCTACACACGGGTTAGAAAGAGGGATTACCAGATGGAATACGATTGTGATATGGAAAAAAAATCACACTAAATGGTAATTAACAAAATCACCAAAAAATGTTTTAAATATCAATTAATTTTTTAGTTTTTTATTTTTTATTTAAATTTCACTTTTATTTAATCTTATGATTTCCAAAAATTATTATTCCACTGCGTACCTTTTAGGTTCTTTAGATTTTTCTCAAATGCACTGAAATTTGACTTTTCTTTTAGCGCGTGTTTTCACGTTCGCGTTTGAAAAACTTTTGACTGAATTTTGAATTTTCACAGCAATTTTATATTGAAAATTATTGTTTGTGTTTTTCTAATTTAGTGCTAAAAATATTAAACGAAACTCATTTTTTCTAAATTTAGGCGCGCATCACTTCTCCTCAACGTTGGTGTTGGAAAATTGTAGAAGGAAAATTCTATCATCGAAAACAAAAATTTTCTGTTTATGTGCAAAATACTTTTTTTAAAAAAAATGTGTTTTATTCGTCATTTGTGTATAAATATGAGTTTGACAATAAATTAATAATTAAATTAAAAACATCAGCTCTTGTAAATTTTGCTGAACTAATTTTTTATACCCAACGAGCAGGTGCTTTTTCCATAATTCTTATAATTTTCTCGACGCTCCTAAATAATTCATTTAAATCATTAATTTAATTAATAATTTAATTTATTTAATTTAATTCATTTTAATTTAATTCATTAATTAAATTAATAATTTAATTAATAATTTAATTAATCATTAAACTATTAATTAAATTAAAAACATTAGCTCTTGAAAATTTTTGTACCCATCGTATGCAATCTGGCCACTTTCCGATAAAAGGAAATCGAAAACTCTCATTGAGATGTCCCGCAAGGACATTGGTCTTCTGGTAGGGTTGACTACAGGGCACTGTAAGCTAGGGAACCATGCTAGAAGACTAGGTCTTCCTTTCAACCAAATCTGTCGTAGCTGTGGGGAGGACGATGAGAGCGCATCTCATCTGTTGTGTTTTTGTCCAGCTCATGCACGTCGGCGATTTAGTACTCTAGGGGCCCCCTTCCTTGAGGACCTGGACCAGTTACAGGATCGGGCTTTAAATAGCATTTTATGCTTCGCAAAAGGTTCTAGGTGGTTTTAAACCCCTGAGGTTTTTATTATTTATATACGGCATCACAATGGGCCAATAGGCCTAAGTGGATCCACTAGGGATCACCGGTATAACCTAACCTAACCTAACCTAACATAAGGATATATAGGAATAGAGGTATGGACCCCATAGTCCAGAACTAAATCTGTAGAAGAGCTCTTAATCTGTTCTGGTGACAGTAATAACATTTGGAATAAGTTTCTTCTTTGCGTTGTTAAAGCTGGACAATCGCAAAGAATATGTATCATCTTCGAGGCATAATCTGCATTCCAAATAAACAGATAATCTAATCTAAGTTTTTATAGATGATATTTCAGACCATAATAACACGTAATGAAACCCGTTAGTTACAGAATATAAACTATAATTTAAGTTAAGACCGTTAATAAAAAATAAATAAATAAAAATATGAAAAAATATTTGAATGGAAGAATTGAAAAAATTGGCTCAAATTTTATATTATTTCTTTTATATATAGTATATTTTTTATTTTCCATATGTAAGTGATGAGTGCGAAATTAATCATCCAAAAAATTGTATTGTAGAATATGCGAGACTATTTTTTTAATAAAATTGTTTAAACAGAAATATTTTAAGTGTTTTATATTTATCATATAAAAGAGCAAACATTTTCATTTCTGATCTGACGCTAGCAACAAACGCCCTGAAGAAACACCTGAAGAGATTTACGGCCATAGGCGAGTCAAAGGCAAGAATTTGTGTGGCTTCACGAGATGTTTTGATAATTATTTTTAGATTGCGTTAATCACACCAAATGAATTACTATATATCATATATTTCTTATTATTTTTTTTTTTGTTTGGTATGACGTTTGCGTTATAAAAATAAATTTATTTTCTTACAAAATGAAATATTTACATTTTTATTATTAAATGATATATAGTACATATTGTTATTGTAAATATGTGAATAATCAGTAGATACTTTCAAAGCAAAATTGTTTTGATAGAAGATATTTTATTAGTTTCCAGAAAAAATGTTAACATTTTTTTTTTAATTTTGTTAGTTTTGTACAAACAAATTCAAACAATTTTAATTTAAACATTGCAAAAATATTTGCAAGAATTCTGCGATTTGTTTATAACAAATTTCACAAATGTTTTGCTTGTATAAACATTTTTCTGATTTTATTTGATTTCAAAATAATTTTCAAGTTGCCTTAATAGAGAAAATAGTACTTAAAATATACATTTAAACGTAAGAAATCGTTTTACGGACGCAATGAAAAACAGATTAACCAGTGATGGACATATGGGATTAAATTATCACTTAAGGAAAATTAATTAATTTTGTGAAAAACAAAATATATTTAGATTTTATTAGTACGTATGAGACTTTCAAGCAAAAACAAAAATACTAATAATATAGTACTGATTAAAACTGACGAGTTTCATAGATAAGGTAAACATATTAAATGGGCTTGACAACGAAATAATAGTTTTCAACTAATGAAAGTTTAAATGAAACCTCATTTAATCTTGTAATCTTCAGTAAATAAATTTACGGGCTTTTAAACCCCATTTCGATTCATGTAATCTTCTATCAAGATATATGCCTACACTTACTTTCATCTATTTTGTCCAGACACAGCAACAAATGATTACCAGCTGTTTCTGTCCATGGCGAACAATTTTCTAGTGAGTGATTCGGTTCAAGAGAGGCTGGTTAAAATCGATTGTTTTAATTTTTTGCCAAAAGGGACGAGGACTTCTATAAAATAAAATGTACATAATAAAATTACTTTCAAAATGTTAAGTAATTGAATAAAACGACGCATATTTGGCCTAAATCGGATCATTCTAAACATGGTAAGTAAGTCACCAATTTCATGCAAAAATAATGGATTTCTTTTTACTACACCTAACATATAATCTTCAAATACTGAATTGAATACTAATTGCAAGATAGTTTGATTTTGACGTTGGCGATATAAATCTGTACCATGTTTATCTTTATCTTTCTGGCATTTTTTATTAGATTTTAGACGCCCGCTAAATATTTTTAAAACGTTCTAGTGGCAATTCTCTTAAAGGTTAGTATGGTCTATTTAGCTGCTGTTGTGAATACTGATAATCTCTTACATACCTGTTTTAGTTATGTTTACTTAGCTTAAGATTAAGTTAATATTCAAATAAATTTTCAGTATAGAACGCGAATATTAACCATATATTCTTTGATACATGCATACATTAATCTTTCCTGATATACTTAAATGACTAATATCTTATGCGTTTGTGCAACAGATGAAAAATACATAGGTTCTCCTGTGACAATTGTTCTAAAGGTGAATATTAGGGCTGCTGTGGGTTTAAACTCTTACCAAACTATCATGATATCGATTTCTTAGCGAAATGTTGGGTTTCTATTCAAGTAAATAGTAAGAAGAGAAATTTAGGCAATAATGTCCTGAAATTTGGTACCTACTCGTATAATATATAGGTATTAAATACTTATAATGATAATATAATATAATAATGCAGTCTCAAAAATAAATATTTACGAATAATTAAATACAAGAATTATTTCCAAGACCACTGATGATGGGTATTTGGCAATACTCGAAACAGCTGTATGGTCAGCCAAAAATTCAATTAATTAAAATAATATAAAAAATAAAAATTTTTGTTGTTGTAGTTCACTACTGTTCGAAAAAACCTCTTTAAAATATATTATATTTATAATGATTATATAATGATAACTACTGCTAATATCAATATAGATCTTAATTCACATAAAGCTATTCCGATATTATTAATACAGTTAAAACAGAACGCTAGACAAGAATATGTAATAATTTGATATCTTTCTTTCATTCCGAAATCAATCATTTCTAAGCATTTTTTTTAAACAGTTAACCAATATATCTACCGTTGCTTTAAGAGAATACACCAGGTCTGTCCAGAACAAGGCTTACGTTTTTGGGTGCCCCGTCTTTAACACACTTAGCGACATTTCTAGCATTAGTATTGGTCGGACACTCGCATTTATCAATGCTTTTGGTTGACTCTAACTTGACCATTCTTCTACCCATTATTAGAAAGAGTTGTGGAATCAAAACGGTTTCCTCTATTTACTTCAATTAATTAACTAGCGAATATATGATAAGCTTTTGCTATTGGATTGATACGTTTGGCATTAGATACTCAATATCAAAGGCAAAGAATTTGACTGGAATTTAAGATTTTAGAACTACGTATATATAAGGCTAAAAGGGTTTCTAGAAATATCTTTTTTATATATAATATTCTCAGACAATTGTTTAAATTGCAACAGACCTATTTAGATTAAAAATGTTGCTAAACAATTATTATCCATTGATATAATTAACATTCATGTATAGTCGAATATTTTAATTTTTTGTTTTTGTTTTTCTTATATATTCCACAACAAAATCACTTAGAGATATAGAAGCGTACTTTTCTTTATCTACACTTATTATTTAGGTAATTTAATCACTTAAAAGTGAAGAAGTTTATTTATGTGCTGATTAAGAAGTTAAAACGTAAATAGCGACTCATTTAAGGAGTGTTTATAAGAACTATTTCAAAATTCAAATAAAAATATTTAATTTAAAAAAATCCAGTATATATATATATCTGATGTTAAATGATCCAAAATATTTTGAAGTGAAAAGGGATTTGGGGTTCAAACCATGAAACAATGACTGCAAATATCTTTTCGATATATTGCATTGTAGTTTTATGTGAAGTGATATGATAAATGATCAAAATTCTAAAAGTTATTTCGATAATATGATTTTTAGATAAATATATCCGCATTTTCCATTTTTATTAGAGAGTTTGTTTATACTTTGATTGATTGTCTAAAGGTTCAAAGTGTGCATAATGTACTTATAATAAAATAGCACTTCTATAAGAATGGATCGAATATTATAAGCCTTAAAGACAATTATTATCCACTAATATAATAAACGTTCAGGTAAAGTCAAATATTCTATATTTTTTGTTTTTGTTTTTATCATATGTTTCACAACAAAATCACCTAGAGACAAATATATCCGCTTATAGATAAATTACTTATAGATGAAGATATCCCCAAAGCTTTTCAATTTTTACTAGAGAGTTTGTTTATAAATTCATTGATTGTCTAAAGGTTCAAAGTATGCATAATGTACTTTAAATTTATAATAAAATAGCACTTCTATAAGAATGGACAGAATATTATAAACCTTAACGACAATTATTATCCACTGATATAATAAACGTTCATGTAAAGTCGAATATTCTATATTTTTTGTTTTTGTTTTTATCATATATTCCACAACAAAATCACTTAGAGATAAATATATCCGCTTATAGATAAATTACTTATAGATAAAGATATCCGCAAAGCTTTTCTATTTTTATTAGAGAGTTTATTTATACTTTGATTGATTGTCTAAAGGTTCAAAGTATGCATAATGTACTTTAAATTTATAATAAAATAGCACTTCTATAAGAATGGATAGAATATTATAAACCTTAAAGACGTGTGTCAATGCTTCTGCCCTCGTAGTTTGTACTTAGTATAAATATTTCCCTTAACCCGATTTTGCTACTGTAACCAAAATTTCTATAAATTTTGTTGAAATCTTGTTATTACAAATTATTTTTTATAAATTAATTAAAAACTTTAAAATCAAGTAATCCATAGATGGAGAACTCTAATACAGCCAGTGACGTTTCACCGGAGCAAAAGGAAATCAAAACAGAATTAGTAAACTGACAGTTGACATGAACCTAACCTATTACAACTTTAATTCTGTTGGGTTAAAATGTTTTCAAAGCAAAACAAGTGAAAATATCTTAAAGATATATTTTAAGAAAATACTAAAACGAAATAAAGCAAAATATTTAAAGAAAACTGCCATAGTAAAAATTAATGTTAAATAATAAAATTAGGAAATATTTTGATAAATTTTAAATTCAACGAAACCCTTTGACGTAACTTCACCTGTAAACACTAGGAAAAATGAGAAAAGTTAAATTTTACATTCCATAGAAAAAAATTTTAAAATCTGTAATTTACGATAAGTTTTGTTATTTTTAGTTTTTATTAACAATTTTCACTTGTTCGACTCTGATGATGATGACTACCACTACCACAGGACGTGTCAAACGTAGCTATTCGGACCAAAGTGTGCACGGCTATATGACGGAGGTGAGTTAAAGGTTTTAAATACAATTTAGATAACTACATTTGTTGTTTAAATAAGCGCACCTGCTGGTGGAATGAAGTGTGTAAGGAGGAATTTCAAAGTCTATTTCGTTGCAAATGTCCACAATTTTCCTACTGCCGGTAAGAACAACACCCTCTATTGCACATAATAGGTGTATGTATATTTGCAGTGTAGTTTTCATTTAACTATTTGCTTTTTAGGTCACCGGGACGTTATTACAATGCCTATTGTTCGATGACTGACACCGGTTATATATGGACACAACCCACTTGGGATTGGGGTCCTTGAGGGCAACTACTTCAGACACATTGAAAAGCCATTCATGTTATAGTTAATTAAAGAAGGTGCTCTTCAAATTTAGACCCTAGCAAATACGTGCACATGCATAATTGCCAACATATATACCACCAACACAAACGTAGATCTCCGCACCCTAAAATTGATTCTTCCAAACACAATAATTAAATGCACATATACAATATGAACTAGTTATACTCATATATAGGATATTTATCTATCTTATTTAATAATCTCATAACGATATATGTACTAATGAGTATATATATATAGTATATATATTAGTTAGTAAGTGTAACTTGTTGAATTTAAACTAAAACTAGCACAACCAATTTTGAGAACTAGTTTTCACGAATATTTTATTGTTATTAAAGATATTTAATTGTTAATACAATTATAGTAAAATATTTACAGCAATAAAATTAAAAAATTATTTAATTATTTATAATGTTTTCTTTAATAGAATATTTAAATCCAAACATATGTTTGGATAACACGTCAGCAAATTCGGAAAAATCAATATATTTTACTGCGTGGAAGTACTGCACAGTGGAGCAAATTTATATGTTACTAATTAAATTTATTTCTATGTACACATTTATTCATAATATTAATTTTTTTTATATATATATATATACTTTAAAAGTAACCATATGGTACATATTATTTATATATATTAAAAATATTTTCTTAATTTAATGACCATGTGTTAGTTTTAATTGAAATGGTAAAGTAAAGTAAATGGTAAAGATAATTAAGTCAAGATCCAAACTTAGATAGACTAGCCTAATATACTTAAATGTTTAAATGTATCAGAAGACTCGAGAGTATGACTGAATATTTAGTGTTTATGAATCAAATCTCAGTTTTAAATTGAAAGTGTAAATACCATACTTTATCAAACTTTAGAACTTTATTTCTAGCAATTTTGTTTGTTTTGTTTCTAACATCAAAGCAGGTAGTTAGTCTGTCCATTGGAACACAAATCCAAGATTGCTCTAGCTAATAACTATTGCAAAAAATATGACTCTGACCTGATCCAGAAGTCGTAGAAGATTTAACCTTGACTATAATTCTAAAAACTGGAACGAAAGGCTCTAGCGTAGTGCCACAAATCATTGAAAACATAATTCAAGAGGTACAACGTGATATACTTCAAAAGTTGTTGGATTTCGAGATGTATGGAATATACATAAATCTTTTATCACTTCTGAGCTCCTGTTCAACTTTTTAGTCACATCTGGAAAACGTATGAGTAGCAAATTTGTGACAAAAATTTCCACTGTAATCTGCTTAGCCTCTAATACGCATGCGTTAGAACTTTTGAACTTTGAAGTACCATTAACTGCGACAATAAATTTAGGAGTACCAAAAAAGAGTGTACACTCATAAATTAGTTACCGTACTGGATTGATTGCAACGCATACATCAAAATGGAAAACTAGCATTTGTAATCCTCAACAGCTGTGAGTAAATTTTTCCACAAATAAAATATCCTTTAATAAAATTTTATTCAATAAAAATTACAGGAAAAATGACCATCTTAACCAACGTTGAGAAGCTGTTTGGTTTGTTATTGGTTTCAGCACTGATTTTGCTGCAATTGACTGCTGGCAATCATTTACCTAGTCATCGATTTGATTACCCAGATGAGGACCTAACAATTAATGAGCGCTTTTTCAATGATGTTAGAGCGCTTATAAAACGACGGTTGAAGGAAAATGCAGCTGTAAGGAGTTCCCAGTTTATAAAATTAGAAAATAAATAAAATTTTATTTCATTTTTTTTTGTTTTTTTGGCCCACAGCTTCAGGAACTCCATATAGATGGCGCTAACACCAATAACAACAACAACAATGAAATTATACCCCTTGAAACGAGCAATACAAATACTGATGCACCACCACCCACCATTCCAACACCCGTTTTAGTAGAGAACTGGCCAACTTCAGATCATTCATTTGGACAAGTAACAGCTGTTTCCATCGACCCACAGGGTAACCCAGTAATTTTTCATCGAGCTGATAGATATTGGGATGCAAAGTAGGTCAACAGGGATTATTAAGTTGTTATTGTTTTAATATATTCTATTTTTATTTTCATGTACACATATTTATGTTCTATTAGCACTTTTAACGAGAGCAACATATTCTATTTAATTGAATATGGGCCCATTAAGGAGAAGACAATTTATATACTGGATCCCAAAACAGGTGCAATTAAATCTGGTTGGGGAGAGGAATTGTTTTACATGCCACATGGATTGACAATTGATGTACATGGTAATTACTGGATGACAGATGTAGCAATGCATCAGGCTTTTAAGGTTTGTAACAAATTTGATTATATATTAATCTAATATTGTACAGTAATATACATGACTTAATACTTAAATAATAAATACTGATACGTATTGACAGTAATATAATAATAGCTGTAGTGTTCTTATATCATATTAATATGAAATTATTCGTGACATATCTGAAACTCCTTTTGCAGTTTAAACCTTTTGAAACTCATCCACAAATAATTATTGGTAAACGATTCCAACCCGGCTCATCTGTATATCATCTATGTAAACCCACTTCGATAGCTGTTGCAACAACTGGTGAGGTAAGTTATAAATTTATTGATGTGTAGGCAGAATATGTGTATGTATTCGGTGGCTAAGCCATAATTGCGCCGAGGGATTGTGTAGGATTTAGAAAATTTTAATATTAAATTTTCAAATGGGGGGTGTTCAATCTATCGTCTATTCCACCCTTTAAATAGGTATATCACTTTATATATTACATATAGGTAATTACACATAGGTAAAAAATCTAGGTAACTCTGAGAGTACAATATATGCTGTAAATTCTCTTTAATAAATTTGATTTACTTGGTAATACCAATATATACTCCAATTTATCTAATATGGTTATATGGTTAATTACATTATCATTGAACTAAAAAAATTAAATTAATAAATATAGTAGTTAAATGTGAAATCTGTCATGGCATATATTAAATCTTTAACGACATTCCTGTATAGATTGAAAGGCACTAGTTCAAAGAGAATGAAAGTTATATGCAACAATGTCAGAGTTCTTCATTGTAAAAACTATATGAACAACTAAAATAGTTTCATTAAATAAAACTCACATGAGCACCGTCCAAGGTTTTCTACCTATCTGAAATAAACTATATATCATATAAGTGTACAAAGTCTTACAAACCATAGGTTAGATTAGGATGAAGTGAGGGAGGAAGTAATCCTCCTCAATTAGCTAAAAAAGTCGTTTTAATTCTACTTTTCCTTGTAATAATGGGTAGAACAATAAATGGTCAAGTTATAACCAGCAAAAATCATTTATAAAGTCGAGAGTCTGGCCAATGCAAATGCTGCAGATATCATTGAGTGTGTTATAGAAGGGCGGCCCCAAAAACTTAAGCCTGGACATGTTTCTGGACAAGCCTGGGCATGTGTTTGGACAAGCCTGGGCATGTGTCTGGACAAGCCTGGACATATGTCTGGATAAGCGTGGACATTGTCCGAACAAGCCTGGACATAAACATAACAGCTGTTCTGGTATCCTTTCTTTGAGCGCCGGTACACAAACCATATATAAAACACGAAAATAAATGCTAACAATGCATATTGTTACTAATAAGGTTTTCTAGATACATTCAAAAATTACTATCGATAAAATGTTATCTATTAAAGTTGTTACTATAAATTTTAATAAAAAAAATGGTAATGGCAACAAAATATATAGTTCTTAAGTTAGAAATATATCCTTTTCAAATTTGAACCAGAAAACCGAAACTGTAACTCGCAGATATCATGATTATTCTTAGTTAATATACTCGTAATGCAGTAGGTCTGCAAATTCCAATAAACATGTTTTATTGAACCTTTGTTTCGTAATTTTGGATAATTATCATTTTTAAGAAAATCTGCATATAAACTCTTATCAATTTTTTTATGTAGATAAGTGTGGTAAATCAATAAATCTAGTTATCAAAAAAATATTAAAAATCAATCAAAACTAATATACATTTTTATTTCTTCTTTAAATATCTCTCAGTTCTTTATTGCTGATGGTTATTGTAATCAAAGAATTCTGAAGTTTAATGCAGCTGGACGTTTGTTGCGAACTATACCCCAGCCACCAGGTGAGATTATTTTACTATTTATTGATTGATTCAGAAAATAATCAATCAATTATTAATTAATTTACTATTGATCTTAATTGATTCAAAAAATAAATTAAATTTTTTTTTAGAATTTCTTTCACTTCAAGTCCCACATGCAATAACTTTATTGGAACATTTGGATTTGTTGTGTATTGCCGATCGCGAAAATATGAGAGTCGTCTGCCCAAAGTAAGTATATAACATTTTAACTACAAGTATTAAAGTTTCAACTATGCACTCCTTGTTTTTTTTTTAATTTTTATTTAATTTTACATTTTTTATAGAGCTGGCCTGAAGTCCTCACAAGGTGAGGGTCAACCTGCAGCAACTATACAGGAACCAGACTTAGGACGAGTTTTTGGTGTGGCGGCTTATGGTGACATTGTATATGCAGTTAATGGACCCACATCGATGTTACCAGTACGTGGCTTTACAATTGATCCACGTTCTGAAGCAATTATTGGACACTGGGGTGAATTCAAAAATCCGCACTCCGTAGCTGTATGTGTAAATGGATCAGCGCTATATGTAACGGAAATCGGTACCAACCATCAAACCAATCGCATATGGAAATATGTACTAGTATAAACGTTGAAAATGGAAATGGAAACTAAATAAAATAAATTCACTTATATAAAAAAAGAAGAAGACCAGTAACTTATAATATAGAAAGATGAGTAGAACAACAATATATATATATCACTGTGTAGCCCTGCATAATAATGTTGTTATATCATATCTAATAATATTAATAAATATTTACAATTTCATATTAAATACATTAATATATACGTAAAAAATGTAATGAATTATATATTTAATCTTCAATTTACAAGATTTTTATTTAAAAAATATTTATATAAACTTATATAAACATATATACAATACATATGTATAAGATATTTAACCAAAGTATGAGTTTCATAAAAGGTAACAAAAAAACCAAAAAATGTATGAATATAAATGGTGTAACTTAAATATTTACATAAATCAATTTAAAATAAAATAAATAAAAATACATCCATATAGACATATATAGTTATATGGTTTAAACTATATTATATTTGAGACACAACAATTACTTTAACTATATAACTTATAATATATATATCTATATTGAAATAGATTGCATATAAATATAAAACGTCTAATACAAACTTATAAAACACAATATTCTTATAAGAATATAACGAAACGATACGGATATATTTGTAAATCAATCCTTAATTATGATATATATATATATAATATTTAATATTATAAAACGTTGAATGTAATAATAAGAATACATATATACTAAATATTTTACCAACATACTAAATTATATATATATATATGTATATTATGATACATTTATAAGAGATGTTTTTTATATGTTTATATATATATATATATATATGTTTATACGGTTCTATATACATATAATATATATATATATCATATATATACATATTCATAAATATATAAATTGTAATGTATATACATAAAACATCTTTTAAAAATTGTGGTTATATTATTTTACATATTATATATGTTTATATAAATGAGTATATAAATATATATGTATATTTTATACTTACAAAAATTATAAAATTTTTGTATATTATGACACATTTATAAGAGATGTTTTTTATATGTTTATATATATATATATATGTTTATACGGTCCTATATACATATAATATATATATATCATATATATACATATTCATAAATAAATAAATTATAATGTATATACATAAAACATCTTTTAAAAATTGTGGTTATATTATTTTATATATTATATATGTTTATATAAATGAGTATATAAATATATATGTATATTTTATACTTACAAAAATTATAAAATTTTTATATATTATGACACATTTATAAGAGATGTTTTTTATATGTTTATATATATATATATATGTTTATACGGTCCTATATACATATAATATATATATATCATATATATACATATTCATAAATAAATAAATTATAATGTATATACATAAAACATCTTTTAAAAATTGTGGTTATATTATTTTATATATTATATATGTTTATATAAATGAGTATATAAATATATATGTATATTTTATACTTACAAAAATAATTTAAAATACCTTTTTACAAATCGGAATTTAATATTAAATATTAGAAAAGTCGCAAGTAATCATGTTATCAACATACATATTTATATTACCATAGCTCCGAACGATAAATACTTAACTATATACAGTAATGCATATGAATAAATAAGTAAAAAATATTTATTACATACATATTAACTATAACATATTTATTACAATATACCAATATATACCACATTACCATGTAACAAGAAATAATATTTAAAAAACCATATCACCACATGAAAGGAATTAAACATATATAAAAAATAATACAGGAAATACCTTTCATGTCTAACATATACTTAAGTTTATATACATATATAGGATATATACATATATGCATATATAGATAATGGCGTATGTATATATCCATTTATTTATTTTATTTTAATTAAGTACTGTTTAAACGCAAATGTATAACCACTAACCACGTAAAAAGAATTAATTGCACATAATAATACATTAATTATAGATAAAATATTAATGTAGACATACATACCTATATGTATGTATTAAGTATATGAAGTATACTAACAAATAATCATGCAGATTTTTGATTATAACATATGTTTTAATCAATATTTTAGTTTTAATTTAACACATTATATATACATTATATTGAAAACAATATTTATATTACACACACACACTTATGAATAAAAAACTTGCACAAATATATATATATATTTAAAACTGAATTTGCATATATACATTTAATAAACATATATTATTATATATATAAAAAAAAACAACGCCAAATAACCGTGTAGCTCAGCTCTGATATATACACAAAGTGTGTCTATATAATTTTTAAAAAAATGTTTACTATAAAAAAAATTAAATTAGTAAATATTATTGTATAATTAATTTATATATGTATATGTATATTCAAGCTAATCTCAGTATAATTCTGAAAAGAATTAGAAAATATGAAATGTTATATATTAGCATTTATATGAGCAATTGACAGCATCTTCTTAAAATTCTTATACCAAATATATTGTGGAGTAAATATCCCCTGATTGACGAGTTTTCATTTTTATATATTATTTTAATAACTAATTAACTAAAACTAACTTGGAGTAACTAAAAACTAACGGATCTAATTGATATACTTGCCCACTCTATTCGATTTGCAAAAATTATTTATCCACATCAAGTATTTCTGATATTATTTTATTTTTTTTTTATGTTGAAGCTATTTGAGCCAGTACACTTGAGCACTTTTACTCTTTCTTAACTCTAGGTATTTTCAAATCCCTCTCTTTACGCCTTGACTGGGTTATTGTTTATCACTTCATCAGACTAAGCAATAATTGATCTCAGATTTGCATATCTCCCCGAGGAGCCTTTAACTATACTGTGATTCAATAACATGGTGTTGGTTAGTCTGTCAGTTTTTGCAAATAATTTGAGGGATCTATCCTTTATGTATTTTTTGATCGGATCAATCTAGAGGTCTCTGAGGATGTTATTCGTCCTAATGTACCATGGTACCTTGAAAAGTCTTCTCAGAGCCTGGCTTTGTGCAATTTCTAGCTGACAAATAAATTATTTTTATATATTATAATTAAGTATAATATATAAAATCTTATAACTAAGATAGGAAAAACAACCGCTAGCTGCCAGGGCCTTCAGCTCATTTCTGATAATAAAGTCATTTAATAACTATATTAACAATCTATCTAGAACCACATCATTCTGATATAAAAGGCAGTGGCGGAGCTAGACCAACTCTGGACGTCGGCGACATTAGAATTGCAAGGCCCCCTTGTTGTAAAAGTAAATAAGTTACATTCACTAATATGACAAAGCATGATTGAAAGTTTTATTGCTAATCAATTTAAAATAAACACAAATTAAAATAAATGAATTTTCCTACTTTTAGCTTCACTCAATTTTTTTTAAAATTATATCATAATTTGCGTCAGCTGTTATTTTCGCTTCAGTTTATAGAATTTCGAATGGAGATAGTCTCTCTTGGATCATCATAGTTTTCTAGTATGTCTCAATCAATTTTAAATTTGAAAAGCTTCTTTCCGTCGGAGCTATACTGACTAAAACTGTGAACATGAATGTGGTTACTATATAAACATTCGGAAATATTTCGAATATGGTTAATGCCATTATCAAATCAAATTGTTCAAAATATTTATTAAGTGCTTAGAATCCACAGTGCTTAGAATCCTGGGGGCGCGAGGCCATCGGCGGTCGCCGACATCGCTGACGCCTAGCGACGCCACTGATAAAAGGCCACCTTAACATCATTTTATTTGAGTAAATATTAAATTATATCAGAAAAATCGCTCTACAAACTAACAATGGTTACTTATAGCACGTCTACACTAGCAAGACTTTAGCACGACTCCTCATTCTCTTCACAGAATCTACAGTTTGCATCCTTATACAGTCACGTAAGGTGGTATTTTAGTTTACAGTGCCCTGTTAGAATTCCTGTAATGATTCCAAGTTTTTCTTTTGATAGGTTCATACAATCCTGTTATCTCTTATTGTTATAGGTATATGGATTGTGTTAATTCTGGGATATTATCCCAGTAATCCTTTTTATTCTGGTTCTCCTTTATTTTTATGAGTGAAAGGAATGTACTATGTCCAACAGTACATATAATAGTCAGGCAATTATTCTGTTATGTAGTTTCCTGGAATACTATATAGTCTTTAGTGTGAAAATCTTTAATATTAAACTTGTATTCCATAAAAGACCCTAATGTGTAGTTGCCTTTATACGTTATAAGTTAGTCTTACCACTAAACTACGGATTACTACTACCTTAAAAGAAAGCTTTAAGTCTCCATTTACTCTTACAGATTTTCGGTTATTATTGTAGTATAAGTTAGAAATGTAATCTGATAGGCAGTTTTTATTTATTACCCTGTTGTCGTAACCCGTGGAAATCTGCTTGTGAAATCCCTTTGTGGGTGGCAAGCGACACTTGGTGGTCGAAATTGACGAGTGACTCCGGGATGTAGAGCTGACCATTTTTGGTGAAAAAAAAGGTGAAACCGGTGTTATTATGTATTTTGATGTTTCAATATTATCCTTCTCAATTAAAATATATTATATGTCAAGTTAAATTCAAATCACTTCGTATAAAGGACCACAATCTGCTACTGGCTAAATAATTCCTTATATGCCATGCAGATGAACTCAAATTAACAAGATTCAAATAAATATTTGAACATAAAAATCTTGTCAAAATCTAGTTATTTTAGATACCTAAGTTTGGTCCAATGTATTAAACCAGGATTTCGCATCAGAAGTCATAGGAATATTAATTCACCATCACATATTGTGTATTAATAAAGAATGTAAAAGGGAGTGTGCTCTCAGGAACCACATTGAAACTGTGAATAGGTTTTTGGCATTAATTTCTTATTATTGCTTTGGTGGCTGTATCCTAAATGTGCACATTATATATTTTGTATTCTGTGACAATCTTATTTTTATGGATTGGGTATCTATAGTGGACTATATAGTGGACTGTATCTTCAAAAATTAAAACAGCTAACCTGCCACTCCTTGAGCTGTTCATATTACCGAAATATGGGAAAAAGGGACTCGGAATTTGTGGAAACATCATAAATAAAACTGTTTAAGTTATGTACGTCTACTATTATTCGTGGGCATAACCAGATATTTTACTTCTTGCTACAAAGACTGTTATTTATTTTAAATATTGTATCAGCATTTAAACAATCATTTAGAATATATTAAAAATTTTATTATTTTTTTTGTTTACAATTGATATATTTTTATTAAAAAATCCAAATAATTTATAAAGTAACTATATCTATTATTAATCAAACGAACTTACTATATACGTTAATTTTACAATTTAAAATTGAAACTTGGTTTTCAAAATTCTAACCATAAATATAATTAATTCTATTAATTAAAATCATTAAACTATTTTATAAGCAATTAATAACAAGTAACTAACAATATAATATAAAATATAACAGATTTTAAAGGCAAATTTAGGCACAAATTATCAATATGATTTTGACTAAGTATATTACAACCACTTGGTAATGAAGTCTAGAACTATGTTAACTGCATCTAACCAAGCATTGAGATCCAACAACGTTTCTGCTGCGAAGAAAACCCCTGCTGTATCATGGTTTTCCTCAGATTTGAAAACGTCACATTGCAGACAAAACGAGCGAGGTCTTGCACACAACTCCGGCGGAGATGAAAGAACGGGTGCCGTTTGTTTACTATGTCGTAAGTCTAAAGAGAATAATGGTTGAGAATCAACACTATTTTCGTCCTGCCATATATAAATATGTAAACCATTCAATGTGACCCAACGCTGATTCCAATTATGTAATGTATATGGATCTTGTACATTTAGAAATCCCTCTTTTTTCCGTTTCGGAAAACGTATTTCGGTACGTGCTGAAAGCTCAATTTCTTTCACTAGATTAGTTGATTTTGAACAAAATCTTATAGGTACACAATAATTGTTTGCAGTTCGCAAGTAAACTTTATCCGATTTCTTGGTTTCGGACTCCACACATGTGTAGGGAATAAAATCTATTGGTTTGAGTTTGAATTCTGCATGCAAACAAAAACGTGAAAATACACCATCATCTGATGATGATGACGACGGGGGACTAGAGTTTTTAACGTTTGTCATTTTCTGTAAAAATATTTTATTAAAGCATAATTAACACAACAATAATAGGGAAGTACTTACAACAGATTTTCTTGTATCAATTGATAATGTTGATATCTTGCGCAATCGAAGCATATAAATCTTACAACTTATAACTGGTTCCATACCTACAGCGTCTGTATCCATGCAAAAAAATTCAATTCCACAATCTCGGAAAACCGCTTCATGATTGACGCATTCCACAGATTGTGTGGAACGTATCACACCTGCACATTCAAAGGTCACAATATAAAAGTAATTGAAGGTAAGATCATAACAAACATCTGGCTTAATTGGAAAACGCATTCCATCCACAAAAAATCGACGTGTATATTCTTCAGATCTGCCATATTCTAAGCCACGTATTTGTACTAAATTTAAACGCTGTTTCTCCATATCAGCACACAACGTGGAATAGAGTAACAAACGCTCAGCTTCAACCATTTCGGCGGAAACTTCAAAACCAGGTGTTTGACGACAAATGCTTACCGCTGTAGCAATTTGCTGCGCAAGAGGCACGTCATCACCAAAGCAAAAGAGTCTATCCAAATTTAGTGATGTCATTGAAAGATATTTTTCTGGGTCATTTAATTCACCTCCGGGTGTTGTTAAAAGCGATAAAGACAAACGTTTGGTCTCTTTGCGTACGAAGTTCTTACTCTTTCGCAATGATTGTCTTAATGCATTTTTAAGGCGTTTATAACGTGTTCCACCATTGATGGATAGTTCATTTCTGGTGTTACTGTTTAGGCTGTTTTTGTTTACATTATCATAATTGGAAATTTCATTTAAACTAGCGGAATGTATACATCGTGCTTCGTTCGGTGTAGCAGATACTTTATGTGGCGTTACCGGACAACTACTGCTATGATTTTGGATATCTGGCTGATCTACACTAACACAATCAATGCTGATGTCAAGTTGCTTTCTTCTATCTCGATTTTCCTCATCTATCAGCTGTAATATTTTATATTATAAATTTTGAACATGTAATGTAGTTAAATTTGTAGTACTTTATTATAGATCTTATAAACATATGGATTAAAATATTTAAAATAAAGAAAAAGCAAAATGTGTCGTATGAAATTTAATATATATATATTACCCATCTTATACATATTGACATACTAATAAAAATTAAAGTTGTTCAATAAACCACTCAGTACACTTGTAATGAATCTGTACTTTGTGAGGATTATATATAGGAAATGAATTCATTGATGGATTTGATGATGGGTTGTTAAAGAAATAAAATATGTCACTCATATTCATGTACTGTTGTTGTAGTAGCCCGTAAGGATCTGGAGAGCAGACAACATGAGAAGAATTACATGGGTTAAAATGTTAATGGGTGCTGGTTGAGTGAGGCTGGAAGAAGAATTTGGGAGTGGATTGGAGATGGATCGGGGATTGGCGGGATTTACATTGAAATTAACCTGTGTCAAGACGGAGAAACCTGGCCAGTTCAAATGGGTGGGTATATTCATGTTCTTGTCTTGAATGCATGCATGATATAATTTGAAAACTTTATAAAAAATATTACACAAATATTGTTTCACGTATTAGATTTTTGTTTATTTGAGAATCAAGTTACATTACTATTCTCAAATTGTTATCATTGTTAACATCAACCTTAACTTTCACGTGATAATACCGTATATCATCAGTCAGTTTCACAAACGACTAACTACATCTCGGGATACATATGTTTCAACACCAGTCGTTAAGATTTAAAGTCTTAAAAGACACACATATAGACGATGCGAATCAGTGGTCTGACTAGAGTAAAGTTTTTGTCAAGATAGCACATCAATGACACAAGTTTAGAGGCCGAACGTTATTAAGATTTTTGCCAAGGTAATACAGATATCGACAAAACAAATATATATTCTTTAATCATATTCAATGCAGAACTTAGTGTTAATGGATACGCCGAAGACAGTGCTTATTGCTGCTACATAAGAACGCGTATGGAAACTTTTAAACGCCGTGGCAAGCAAATATATAGGAAATACAACTTAAAGTTAAATTGCATTAATACAATAGTAGATGAAATTGATGATAATACAATAGTAGATGAAATTGATGATAAATGGTTTGAATATAGAAGGCTTCAACAAATATACTAGCTAGGCTGCCAGATCAATGAACAAAGTGATCATTCTAAAAAGTATGCATTCAAGTTACGACAAGAACAGCTTTAATAAAAATAAGAAGTTTTATATGCTTCCATAGCTATCAGTTACGACGAAATCACAAAAAGTTCGGGCATACTTTAAAACATCTAAGAAATCTGGTCAAAAAGTAATTATAATTAATTAATTACTTATAATTAAATATAATTATAATATATTTCTTATAAAAAACACAAGGATGTTCGGTTTAGCTAATCCTCTCATTAATTGTACTAAATGCGATAACTAAAACTATTGAAACTTAAAAATAAAAATAGTAGTAAATACTATAGACTATAAATAAATTAAGCGACCTCATTATTGTGGTTAGGTTGGGTTAGAAGCTAACCAGGGTCAAAGCAGAAAAACCTAACCACTTCAATGGTACGGAGCCAAATATCAACCCGGTTGAAATTGATATATGCATTAGTACATGAAAACAAATGGACGTCATCATGCTGAGTAGAGTGCAGTTTCTGCACATGTTAGGAATTGAGGCATTTATATATGCCTAGTAACTATTTAGCGGCTGGCTCTATCCTGCCCTCAATTGGGCTAGGGCAGTGCTTGCTACACGGGGAAGGTGTTGCTTTTTCGTAAGATATTAGCCGGAGAGTTGTGGGGAACTTACTCTGCAACCATAACTTCAAAGTTAGCTGTTAATCCTCTAAATCAATGATATCGAATACAAACGAGTCACTAATGTTGTTTCTATTTCAATAGATGACGATGTAAGCATAATACGAATAAAATCATTGTAAGAGCCAACTAAGTGAGAAGCCTCTACTTAATATGTTTCCATTTTAGTGACACTAATTAATATCTACGTAAGTAGATATTACTTATACATTTGCTCTTTTACAAGCACTTTAACTTCTGAATGAAAATGGTCAACATTTGGTGCTACCGGTTGCAATTCGCAATGCCATGTTTTGACATAATTGGAATCTACTCTAGACCGCAATGGAAAATCCTACAACTTTCCATGTATCCAGCACCAAAGCATCGAGGTATGTGCAGAAAAGTTCAACATACTGTCAAAACGGGACTTTATACTGCCTCATAAATGGCACAACCTCATAAACTAAATTATCAGAAACGGGCCTACCAAAGGGATTAAATACTAAGTTAAGTAGTATCAAACACTAATAATAAAGCAATATCATAAAATAGCAAAAATCTCTTTAATATTTAACACTTCTTAGTAAGCAACACTTAAGAGACGAGATACAGAAAACATCGTCGACGTGATTAAATATTAATTAAATTTTCTCTCTTGCTCTTTATATTGAGTGTAACGTTGAAAACAACAACAATTTAACATTTGATGTGACCATGACTGTCGATAGCATGGCTTTTATTAGGTTCTACAATATTCGGAATCACTGTTCTCAAGCTATTTTAACGACACCCCCTATGAAACCATGTTAAATACTACCTATGTTACATAATAGTTTTTGGAAAATAAAAACTTCTACAGGCAAGGATTATTAATTGGTTTCAACTCTAGCGACTAATTATATTAGTATATATAAATTCTTTTGATAGATGATATAGAAGGAGAATAACAAGAATACTATAATTATTAAATTATTGAAATTAATAGTTGATTATAGTCTTAAATATTTTTATTTAATAAAAAAAGTTAAAACTTATTTACATTTTTTACAAATCCGAAAAGCATATCGTCTTGTAAAACGTCTACAAAGCTATTGTAAGAATATTTAAAATAGGCTTAATATCATTCGAGTATTTCAAATTTATAATTTATTCTACTATACAGTAACGTCTTTAAAAAATTGTATTCCAACCATAATACCATAATGGTATTGTTTAAAAATATTATTTGCAGTATTTCACATAATTTAAATTTAAAAGAAAAAATAAAAAAAAATTGTTATTGACACATTATTATTACAAAAATAAAAAGAAAAAAATAAAAAGAAAAAATTAAAAAGAAAAAGGCAGAGGATATATAAAAACCCATTAGTATAAACATTTCCTTAAAATAATATCATGAGTATTGACTAACACCTTTAATTTTATAATTTAATTCTGTACACCTATGGTATATATACATTATAATTTTTATAATGTAGTACTTAAATTTTTAAACCAAATGTACAAATAATAAAAAATCATTTGAAAAAAAAAACCCAGACCAAGAAAATAAAATAAAAAATTAATGTTAGATTTTGTAAATTTTGAAATTTTAAACAGAAGATAATGTGTATTTTACAGTGATGTTTAACAAATGTAATTTAAGTATATTAGAGTGATTAACCAAGGAACAATTTTCTTTAAAGAAACCTTATAAATATACATAAGAATATAAGTAACCAAATGAACAAAATATATTTCATTAAAAGCATAAGTTTGGCAAAGGTTTGAACTTAATTATAAATTTCACCTAATATGAATCAACAAAAAGTTCTACCTTAGTAATAAAAGTTCGGGGCTGAGGTCCACCATAGCTGCCATTGTTATGATTTTTCTTCGGTGTGCTCTGATCCCGTCTTTGTGGTGGTGAAGTTAAACTTAGGCCCAAATGACTACCTGCAGTATTTGAGTGAGTTTCATCCTCATTTGGCATTTCGTATGATATTGTATCAATTGGTTGAGCATCGTATGAATCACAACCAGGCAAAGAAACGTAAGTTCGATCCAAATCGCTCTGTAAAGATAAAATAATTAATTAATATTTAATATGCAAAATGAAATTAATTTATAATTTTAGTACATTTTCAACTTTTTCCAAGCATTCCACTTCAGCATGGCATAAATTATCCAAAAATATTTCACTACGATATATAGACAAATCTGATTTGCTAAGATTACGATTATTCTTTGGTAATGAATGTTGTTCCATTATGTTATTAAGAGACGAGGAATGACTTAGCGCATTTTTATTTCCTTTCGGAGATTGTGGTAAAGGCGGCAATTCTGTGGACACTGAGTCTGGTGTTGGTGACGTATAAGACACATCGAGGCTTGTGGACTCATATAAAGGTGGTAGAGTTGAATTTTTCGATTTTAAAGATTCATGAAGAATTTTACCTAAAGGCGTTAGTGTTGTTGTTGTTGTAGAAGTAGTAGTTGATTGGTTTTTTTTATTTTTTGCTGCTTTATTTACTTTCGCATATAAATGATCAAAATTCTTTTCAGTTGTTTTAGTTTCCAATCCCGTTTTATTATCAAAATCTGGACTACCACTTATATGCATTCTTTCCTCTTCTATTTCTGAGTAAAGTGGATCCTGTCGGTCTATATTTTCTAAACGATGATTGAGGTTGTGGAGTCTTAAACCGTGACGTGATATATTACTATTGTGACCATCAACGCAATCAAAACCATTGTCATGTTGATGCTCACGACGTTCAACCTCCTAGAAAAAGCAAAAATTAATTATATTTACAAAAATACTAAGAAAAAATGAAATATAATCATAAATAAGGAACGAATAAATATTCTTATTGATATTATTTTTAATTTAACTTATACAATTATTTTTTCTTAACATATATAAAATTTATATAAATTTCACTGTGTTATAAATAACAGATGCATTAGTTATAAACCATATAAGCCATTCTTGATAAGTTGGAATCGATCTAACTCTGTTGCTTTTGTTTTTTGTTTTTATGTCTACACTTTATTTGCTTACAGAATTAATAAAATAAATATTTATACACTGTACCAAGAACATTGTAAGTATCATTAAATTCTTGTCAAGCAATGTTGGTGTTTGATGTACTGTGAGCTTACCTACTTTAACCCCATTTGCCCTATCCAATTTCTACTACAGCTCGAATATCGAGCACACAGATCCTATATATATATATTCTGGATATACCAGGTGTATACAATTAGATATAGACTTAGAAAAAAATTTACAAATAGAATTTACAGAAAATAAAAAAAACATAAAAGAATACACAGGATACTAGGTCCCGGTTTCAGACACTGATTTAAGAAAGCTTATATTTTTTCGCGTACCGTATTTATAAAATAGAAACCGCTTTTGTTTGTGTTAAATAAGTAAAATTTTTACCAATGGATATAAGACTGAAGTTCCCTAACCTTTTAAGTTCAATCAAAGCCATTAGATTGATTTTTTATAATTTTTGGAAATTATATCTTCTTTTATCTTCTATTATTATTTCTTCTTTTTCTACATCCACTATTTTTTATTTTTGTGTCTGTATTATTATACCGATTACAGTAGTTATAATTATTCAATTTTTGTTTAAACAGAAGAGGATAAAGTCCCATATCCGCTACTCATAATCAATTTTCTTCTACAATAATTTTTAGGTCGACCTTTAAAGAGGTTTAGTTTAGGTTAAAAGAAGAGAAAAGTGAAGAGTGAAACAACTATAACTATACATTATCATATCGAAATTCTAAATGTTCTCTTGGGTAACGTGCAGGCCGTGTAATGATAAATTAGTAATTTTAAGAATGAGTCCAGCTATTGATCTTATGTGGCACACAAATGTGGCTCATAAAACATTTTCAAAAAATTAATTCAGTGTATCTAAAAATGTATATAAATGTATATAACATTTAAATTCATTTCAACTAATTTTTGAAATAAGAATAATACTATTCTATACGTTTGAAACATATTTTACTAACTAGAAATCTTTCATTTTACCAGGGTCGTAGACCACTTACAATGGTTCGGCTAAAAAATTTGTCTATCTAGTCTTTACATCAATGACTGGAAGGAAAATTTGCAAAGCTGTAGAAGTTCGTTTCATGGTTTGCCTCAATAACAAGAAAAGGACAAAGGGTCAAGCGTAAAACCACACCGATTCAGCACTAATACACAGTCCTTAGTACCCAAATTTATGCGTAAGTACTAACAGCTGCAGAATTATATATGCATGTAAAATCGCGTCTCTCTTTTTTTTTTTGTTTTGAAGTAATCAAATATAAAAAAAGTATAATACTATAATATTAATATATAATAATATATTGTAATAAAAGTGAAATAAGTGTACTATTTACTATATAAGTAAATACTTATAGCATTTTAATAATTTATGCATTATACAATTGTTTATATACCTTTAAATATATGTCCAAAAAGCGTATAAAAATTCTATAAATATTCATTAAGATAATCTTTGAAAAAAATGTGCAAATCATTGTTTTGGAATTTTTTATTTATTCAAAACTTTTTTATATTTGCACTATAGACGGCATAACAATTGATATGGCATAATATTGATTAAGAAAGATAACTAACAGATTAAGGCATATAGATTAAATCAGCTCATATAAGAATTTATTAATTATTTATTTACTTATTATTATCAATAAATAAATAAATTTTTTGATTATTACCGGGCTTAGGTCGTTTATTTAACACATAAAATTATAAAAATTTTTATAAAAAAAATAAATAAATCAATAAATTAAAAATAAATAATATAAATGAATAATAATAAATATAAATTTATAAAAAAATTGTAAGAAAAGAATGAAACTATAACCTTGTATAAATTGTATAAATTGAAGCAGATATTAGAACTGAAGGTACCTGTTTTTTATTTGTAGCGCACAGTCTTCAAAACTAATAAACATAACAAAAACTTTTACTTTAACATTCAATGCGGTCATTGAGGTGAATTATGAGAATGAACATTTAGTATGGATTTTAATTCGAAGTTGTTTGGTTGTTTGAATTAAATATTAAATTAAATACTAAATTAAATACTAAACTAAATATGTCGTCTGAAAAATTGGATGCGATTATTTTTGGTGCAACCGGCTTTACTGGAGAATTGGTTGTTGAGAATGCTATTAATATTCTAAAGGGATTTCGGTGGGGCGTTGCCGGTAGAAATGAGGTTAAAATAATTCATTTATGTAGAAAAATATTTTTATTAATTATTGATATTATAGTCAAAAATAAAAGCAGTGCTCTCAAATATTGGCGAGAAAGTCAATAAAGATCTAAGTAATACAACAATTATCATTGCCGATGTTAATGATAAAAAATCTATAGAATTAATGGCAGCAAAGTGTAAAGTGAGTATTTTATTAAAAGCATGTAAATATATAAATAAAATGTAAATAAATTTATTGCAATTTAGTTATTAATCAATTGTTGTGGACCTTATCGCATTTATGGTGACGTTGTTGTAAAAGCTTGTGTTGAGAATGGTACTCACCACATTGATCTCAGTGCGGAACCACTCTTTATCGATGAAATGTTTAAAAAATATAATGACCTATCTCAAGAAAAAAATGCTTATGTTGTGTCAGCATGTGGATTTGATACCATAGCAGCTGAAATGGGTGTAGTTTTTGTTGAACAAAATTTTGGTGGTAAGTTAAAAGATATAAAATTATAATACACATACTTAAGTACTTCGGTGGAATGATCATCGCACGATTAAACAACAGGCGCTGACTATAATAATTGATGAATTGCACTGTAGAGTCACTGACTACTGTAATATTGCACTACAGTAAGAGTCACTATCTACTCGAATTAAAAAATTTTAATATTTTCTAAGACCACTGATGATGAGTACTTGGTAATATTCTAAACAGCATTGTATGGTCAGGTCAGCGAAATTTCAAAAAATTTACTAAAAATTGTGGTTGTTGCTTTTCATTTCTATTCGAACCCTTCTAAATTAATTTATTTTTTTTAGGTACTGTGAATTCTATTGATATGTACTGGGAAAATTCATTCGGAAGCAAAGAATTGTCGAAACCACTTTTTCATTTTGCAACTTGGGAAAGTGGAGTTGATACCTTTAATACCTTTAAAAAATCTCTACAATTACAGAATGAAATAAATAGATCAATAGTAGATAAACTACCTAGTTTAAAACCCAAACTATGGCTGAAGTAAGTAAATATATAATGAAACGAAACGCATATATTATATATTACTAATAAAAATTATTGTATTCAGTCCATTTATACATAAAACAGCTGGTCTAAGTAGTTACTTCCTACCATTTCCACAAACTGATCGCGCACTAATACACCGTGCACAACGTTTGCAATATAAATTAGAACAAAAACGTCCCATACAATTTGAGTCATACGTGGGCTTTCGGTGAGTGAACAGTTTTTCTATATATTTTACATATATTTATAATAATTTTTCAATATTATAGTTCACTTCTCTTAGCGCTTATTCTACCGTTTCACTTTCTAACTATTGTACTAATGTCACAATGGGATTGGACACGTAATTTACTCTTAAAATGTCCTAAATGTTTCACATTAGGTATTATTTCACATGAAGGACCTACAGAAGCCATCAGAAAAGCACATAACTTTCAATTAACTTTTAAAGCAAAAGGTTGGACAAGTGATGAGCTCATTGGAGATAAGCCGAATAAGGAGATAGTAGCGCGCGTTTCGGGCTATGATCCATTTTATGGTTTTGCAAGTGTTGCTTTATTATTATGTGCAAAAACAATACTCACTCAAAACCAACTAATGCTGGGAACGTAAGTCTACGATTTATAATATCTTTGAAGATAATTAATAATAGCTTATTTTACAGGGGTGGAGTTTGGCCAGCATGTTTAGCTTTTGAAAAGACAAATCTTATTGAAGAATTACAAAAGCATGAGAATGGTTTACAATTTAAAATAATTAAGTCATAAAGTAGTTTTGATATTTCTTTTTATATTGCCTAATTTTTTAACATTAAAATTGTAGACATACATTTTTAAGAAAAAAATTGACATTTGTTTCTTCTGTTTTGTCCGTTTTTAGTGCTTCTAGCAAGCAATTTTGGTTTTTTGTGCGAAGATTTCGTTAAATTTGCTTTATAAAATAGGTTGTGTTGCTTACTGCCATTCTTGTTTTCCAAACGTACTGAAATTGGAGTAATTTGCTCCTAAAAGGCGCTAACTCTGAAATTTATTGCTAAACAATTTATTTATTATTAAATAATTTGCATTGAAAACAACAACAATTTTACTCATTCCGTCCCTGACAGACTTCCCTTTTTTTTGCTGTTTATTTTTGGTCGCAAATTGAAAGCGAGCATACCTACATTTCCTTTTAAAAAGTACCAAAACATTGTAAAAATACGAAATTAGCAATACTGATGTGACAGTCTAAATAACATGGATTTTCGGCATAGCCCGAAATAGACAATTTTGCGGTCCCAAGACTCTCTACATAACATGGCGCTAATTTACAGAGTTACGTCTGAATACCTCCTTTATAAACGAAATAAGCTGTGAAAAACAAGTCGTTTTTTTTAGGAAATTACTGTTTTTGTACTGAAATACTAATGTACGGATGTGTAACATACAGCAAAGCCTCAAATACTACCATAAAGCAATTACAGATAACACAAAATCTAGCTTTAAGAAGACTTATTAAGATTTCTTGGTATATTAGAACAACAGACATGCATAGAGATCAAAGGGTCGACTCAGTGAAAAAATAAATCAAGGACAGAGCCCTAAAATTATTCATAAAAGTTGATACGTTGCCTAACCCCGCCCTAACAAACCTTAAGTCCACCTCAGGACACACAGGAAGATATGCTGATCTACGGTCTGTCATCAGTTAAAAGATAAATAAATGATAATAATTCTAGTATAGTTAAAGCTTAGTGTGGGGCAGGGATAAGACCCCCAGCCACAAAAGAGTAATAGTGCGCAATAGCACCAACTCAAATCACAACAATAACGAATGTTCAGAAACATCAAATAATTTACTTGCATTAATTATAATAAACAAAGCAATACAAAATAATTTTAATCAAATTAAATTTATAAGAAAAAAAATTTAAATATGGCACAGGCCGTTTAAAATACAGAAGTCTAACAAAATTCTAGTTAAAATATTTTTTTAATTATGTATTATTAAATAATATATATTTAAACAACAATGCCACATTCAGTAATAATTAATTATAACTAACTATAATTAAATTATAGTCAAATTATGTTTTTTAATTAAAAGCCACAAGTGGAAACCAAAACTAAATCAAATGCTAAATGTGTTTAAAAAATAAATATAACATCCCTGTACAAAGGGAAATATGCACAACATATGATTTTGACAGCCCGTGAGATTTCCCCAATGGTGGCAAGAAGTTTTATTTGTTGGAAAGTCAAATGTTATTTTCGGCGCGTCAATTGAAATGTTTCGCAGCATTTTAAAATACGTGCCCAAAAAGAAAATATTAAACTCGTTTATACTATATTCAGCATCGCCGGCACCAAAAGTTTATTCCAGTAAAATACAAAAACGAGATAAAAAGCGTACAAAAAAGAAACAACAACAACCAACCGAAACAATGGCACGTCTATGGATAAATTGCAGTGACAAAAGGGAAATCACCAACAAGTACAAATTAGTTTCATACAATATCTTAGCTCAGGATCTGCTGGTGGAACATTTACATTTATATATACAAATCGAACAAGCCTACCTAAGATGGGAACATAGATCGCAAAAACTCGGAAAGGAACTATTACATATTAATCCGGATATAATATGTTTGCAGGAAATGCAATGTAATCACGTTAAAAATTTTGTTGCCCAAATTGGTGGACAACGTTGCTTGGAATATGTCTTTAAGAAGAAAACCGGTACACGCACAGATGGTTGTGCTATTATTTATGACAAAAGCAAATTCAAGCTTGTACAGCACCTGGGATTGGAATATTACAATTCTGGACACAACTTATTAAATCGTGAAAATATTGCATTAATAGCGAAGTTTGATTTGAAAGAAGAGCCTGGAAAAAGTTTAATTGTGGCCACCACTCATTTGCTGTATAATCCAAAGAGGGAAGATGTGCGCATAGCACAGGTTAATGTGCTTTTGAAAGCACTGAAGCAGTATTCAATGAAATATGAAAACTCACCTATTATATTAACAGGTGACTTCAACTTTGAAAGACACATGAAGCCATTCGAAATTATCTCAACTGCAGCACAACACCCACCGCTAAAAAATTCCGCTTGTGGTGATTCGAACGAGAAAAAAGGTCTAGAATTAATACCACTAGATTTTAATTTGGGTAGTGAATGTGCATCAACCTTTCAAAATAAATGGATTACAGTGGATCATATCTTCTATTCAAAGCAAACTAAAGGCAACCACTTAGAAATCTTGGAAATATGCAGATTACCAACAATTAAAGATTGTCAGATGTTCGGACAGATTCCGAATCGATTTTTAGGCTCCGATCATTATTCACTGGCGTTTACATTCTCAGTTCAGTAACACACATTTTTTTTTCTCATTAATAAATAAATTATCTGTATCTGTATCTGTACATATGTATTAAAAATTGTTTATCATTAAATCATTATGTATATAATTACATCAATAAAGCACACTTTTATGTTGTAAACTGACACCAAGTTCGAATAACTTTTTAGGGATCCAAAGCAAGTGAAAAGTACACAGACAATTTTGGTAAGGATTGCAATAATAATTGAACATATAAGATATAAGGTTAGAAATATGGTGGAAAGGTAGTCAGAGAACGTCTAATAAAGTTGCTATGTCACAGACATGAAATCACTGGATTTAAATATAAACGATTAGGTTTACAACTGTAGTTAAGCACTTAGCAAAAGACAGGTATTCTGACTTAAATCAAACCACAACAGTATTAACTACCAACACTCAAACAAATTATAGTACTAAAAGAGAAAAATAATCTTGATTTACACTAGACTACTTCTGGTGCACTGTAGAGAAGTGGATATGTATGGGTCATGGTCATCTAATGTCGTGCGAATGAAAAAAACTACTCCGGCTGGAAAGATGTGTGATTTGATATACGCAAATGGAAAATGCGGTAGAGGACGTCCGCATCTTGTGTGGAAGTACTAGGTGACCAATAATTTGTGGGCGATTGGTACTACCAACTGGCCACAACAAGTCATCGAACAGGCTGGCTGCAGAGGCTACTGTATGCAGCCAAAGACGACTCACGTCTGATATACCCAACTAAGTAAATAAGTAAGTGAATGTGGATCAACCATTCAAAATAAATGGATAAAGTAAATCTTATATTTTATTTAAATCAAAAATCAAAGATATTAATCTGATTTATTAAGAAAAATTAAGAAACTTATATTATATATTAATGGTATATATTAATATATGATATATTAATAGGTATATTAATAGATTAATAGATATATTCATAAATTGTCATATATATATATATACGATTGTCAATATTCATAAAGACAAAACTACAAAAAAAAGGATAGCAATATATAGCTAGATAATATAACTAGATAGATAGCTAGATAAAACAATAGCTATAACAAAAGTTAAGAAATCTATCTATATCATACATAGTTTAATAATTGAATGATAACAGGGAGATATTAGAATATTATTTTAGATTAAAGTTTTCTTTCGGATAGGATCGGAAATTTCCTACATCTTAAAAAATTATTGAAAATGGATTCCAATTAGTTAAATTTTTTTAAGAATTGTAACGTTTATCTAAGTTTTAAAGGTAAAGGTTTTTAGAATAATCATTTTAATACCAAGTATCCCGGTAAATATTAAAAATAAGGTTTTCTTTTAGATGAAGCAATAATTGAATCATTTAAAAAGTTATCAATATTTGTTTATAGTTAAATTTAAAATATTTGCTGATTTTAAATTAGATATTAGATAGATATTAGGAGTTTTCTGAGTAAAGTTTCCTTTCTGAGTAAACACATGTCTTATTTGATAACTAATATATCGGCAAATATTGAAAATGAATGTCCCCTCTCATACAATGTTTATATGTTTCTTCAGATCGAAAAAACCATAATTTCACTATTTAAAATTAATTGTAAGTGTTGACATCACAACGGGTCAATACTACTCATCTAATAAAATGTATGTATTCTAGGTATAAGCATTTTTTTTCTAAATAGCTGTTATTATATGGCACTACTTATTCTAAGTACTAATTTAGTTAAATAAAATATACATTTAACTTACCTGAAAGGTTCTTACTGCAAACTCATCACTAGCTTCCAATTTTGCTCGTATATTTCCCAAAATATAGCTCATCTTCGAAATATTCACATCATTATCCAAATCAGTTTGGTATGATTGATAGGTCTTATTATGCAGATTTGAAAGCCTCTGTTCATCGATACTTTCAATGATCGATGATTTGCAACAGCTTTTAATACACATTACACGACCGCAACCGGTTGGAAAATGCAATTTTCTCTGAGTTGGTTGTAAACGAGATTTAGCCTTCGGTGGTGACTGTATGGTACGTGAAAAATCAAATTGTTCTACATTTGCATCACTCGAACGTGTCGGTGTTGTGGATTGCGGTGACGTTTGTATAGGAGAATGATAACTGCCAGGCGGAGATTGGCGTATTAAACTGGGTTCATATAATTGTATATCGCTTCCAGTTGTCTGTACACCAATAGTACGATGTGGTGTTTGTTGTCTTCTAATTCTATTGGGAATGTTATTATCCTTTTTTGGTGATACCAAACGTAATATTTTCTTCTTTGAATTGCATAAAAACGAAGCAGTTTTACTTCTTTTCGAACGTGGGGTTGAATTTTTTCGTTTATTCTTCACTGGCCATGGTGAAAAGTTTCGCAGTTGTTTAGACCAAGGAAAACTTTTATCTTTATTATTGAAAATACGAGTTTTTACAGGAGTACTTTTTGTTTCTATGTTTGCGGCAAGATTATGGCATACGCCACCATCCACCATATCTATTTGCATTTTTGGTGGTATTTGCCAACCAATAACTTGTGGTTCAGCTTGTGTGCCTTGAGATCTGAACTGCTTGGGTTTAGACGCAGCATCGTAATTAAGCATTTCCGCAATTTTCGGTTGATGCCAACCCACTGTTATTTCTTTAGCTAAAGGTTTTTCGGAAGCATAGCGACGTAAATTTTTTTGGTTCTTAAGTTCCTTTATATCATCACCAAGCTCCAAATCACTAAGATTAGGATAAGTAAATAGCGGTTTTCGTTGCGGTTTCTCTTCTGCTATTGCTAAAATATAAAAATGTACAATATATATTACAGATTATGCATTTATCATAGCACGATATATATTTAATAAGTTTATTTTTAATCTTTGAAAAATAAAATGTTAATAATAGAAGTCACCACTGAATTGTTAGTGTTTGAAGATATCCAATTAAGTTTTTTTAAAAATAATATTTATAATATATAAGTTAGCACTACTAAGTGTTGTATAACTAGATAGACTTGCAAACAACAAAAAAACCATTAGAAAAATATATTGGCATGCAAATCAAATTAATCGGCATAACGTGTAATTTTTTTAGTTAATATGTGTAATCAGCGTATATTTGATAGAGCAAAAGAAACACCAGAACAATATAATGCTCTACTTTCTAATTGAAGCAGCAAACTCTGTTGCGATAAACAAGGATTATTTAAATGAACTAGGATTTATATAAAATCAAACCAAAGCAATGAATGAATTCAAATTTTCTTCATAAAAAAATACTTAACACAAGATAAGATCAAGATCCTCATCTTAATCATCGTCAGATCTTGTTCTTGTAGTCGCAAGTTTCTATAAAGATAAAATAACATAATAACATGAAAAGAATTACAAATACGTATATATGGGTTAGGAGGCGGATAGATAATGATGGTGTGAAAGAGGAATGGATCTACAGCGATCTTTATAAAGACAAACCAATAAACCTTTCTAAGAATTGATGAAATACTAAACCGATATACGATATCATAGAAACAGTGAAGCACAAAGTCCCACCTTTAAGTCTACTCCGTATAACGAAGCCCATCTGTTATCATGCCCTAACACACTAACTAATTCAAACCATATTAATATTTATGTTCGACCAATTGAAGTAGCCAGATTCCTCATTCTCAACCCAGGCTAGTTGCAAAAAAACACCTATCCACTTACTCATATGTCCCTTATTATAAACAACCCTACCTCTTCTTTCTTTACCTTTACTCAAGCACATACTAACTTATGTATTAATTTTTATTATTATTTTCTGCTAAATAGATCGCAAGGGTTTAACAAGAGTGAGACACATGGCACAGCCAGTTCTACAAACTAGAATTATTTCGTACACATCGACTGAATGCATGGGATACCTTAACTAAGAGTAGAATGCGACGTTTTTTTTTTCGTGCATACTAGAACCAGTCAACGTAGATCTTTAAAACTTACTTAACTTCATAATGCTATGTTACGATTAATGAGACATATTGCTAGGACACTTACAATATAGCGATATCAGAGTCTGAAGTGAAATATTTAAAGAAATATAAAATATTCGATAGTGTGATATACACACAATATTTCAATTATTAACAATGAGAATGACAGTTCTGACTGCTCCGATTATGGTACATGGCTGTGAGATAATTTCTAATATTGATATACTAGACTTGATTTCTCTCACTGAAGAATTAAGAGATAGTTTTAATGGAGAAAGGTTTAATTCAATCTCTCATGTTGGGGCGATATGTATATAGAAAATATATATAGTTCGCTCTTCTTTTTACCCTTTTAAGCTTAATATACCCATTTTGCAATACGGTTAACTGGTTTCATAAAGTAACAATATACTTTAATACAGATTTTAGGTTGAAGTACAGCAAGGTTTATATCTCAAAGCTAGTAGTCTGCGACAATTAAGTACGCTTACTTTATCCTTAAAAGTTAAGTAATTGTGAGAAGCTAACAAACTTTTACAGCATAAACAAAGTAACTTTCATGTCAATATAAATACAAAAGCAAATAGTTTAACTTTATGAGTAAAAATTGAATAAAGATATTTCGAAAAGTAGTGACTATAGTCTATAAATAATATATACCCTAAATATAGCATATCAATAATCAATAGTTTCTATTAAGTAAAATAGTCACTTCCATCATAACTGAAGTTAAATTACAATTTATAAAAATATAATTTCATTTTTTAAAAGCAATATTTTTCAGTCCATCAAGTCTTAAATCATTATTATAATAATCAATATAATACTATAACTACAAATCTAGTACCACAACCAATGACTTATACTACAAAGAAACACAAACATATTGTTAAACAATGTTTATTTTCAACTTTTTGACTACAAATTCTACTAATGTTTGGCAAGCAACAATTAAAATAACTACTAAATTTCAATCAACTTACTTAATGGATATGATTTCCTTTTGTCTGATTTGCTAACGGATTTATGCGGTAAATCGTTGCCACTCTTCCTACTCGTATCCTTATTTCTTAATTTTGCTGGACTAGTGTTTATCTTAACACCTCTCGAAACAAGAAACTTATCAACAATAAGCTCTGCCTCACGTACTGAAGGCGAAGTGGACACAAGTGAACTAACCGAATCCTTGTGTTCAAAACCAATTGAGCTGCGCGGTGGCTTAGGAGGTGGTTCCTTAATATTTCTAGGCTTTATCTGACCCGATGTTGCCGACAAACGTTTTTGTAATAAACGGCCAGCAGCTTTATGTTTACGGTGCGTACATTCATCGCATTTGATTGTTTTATCGAGTGCCGACACATAAGTGGAAGTATCAGATATACTATCATTTTCGGTAATTTTTTCCAAAGGCGGTGCTGTTGGTTTACACCATTCTTTCACAGGAGATGTCTTATTCACCTCTCCCTTTAAAGTAATTTTTTTCGATTCTGGTTGCGAATATGATCCTTGTGTTAGTGCTTTTTCTTTATTCACACGTACTTCGGATATAACACAATTATTGTGTAGCTCTTGTATAATATGTATGAGTGGTTCATCATTTGTTGTAGTTTCCAGACGACTAAATGCTGTTAAAAACTCACCACTTGTATTGGATCTCACTGTATTCGGTATTTGTAGGTCATCTACGACACGACGATGTGACAAGTTATCATTTTGCTTTTCTTTGTGTTTTTTGTTATGTTGTTGAGCAACTTGTATTTGCTGTTAATAATAAAAAAAAATACATGAATAAATAAATAAAATTAACTGCAAATAATATTATATACCTCATTTTTGTGACGCCTATGCTGTCGCACGTGTGTGCCACGTGCCGTTCCTAAACCAGTACAACTGCCATCCCCACTGTCGCTTGTAAAGCAATAACAGAAACCATTTTTACAAGGTTTACACTTACGTTCCTGCTCTCTATTGCTACGGTTTTGTTTAATTAAATCAGCATCATCTATGTCTTTATTATTTTTTTTATTATTTAAAGACGTTACATTACTCGTAACCTGTGTGGTTGGGTTTTCATTTTGTACATCCCGACTGTGTGAAGATATGCGACGTATACGACGTGCGCGAAACTCGTTTATGCATTCCTGCAAACTAAACGATGAACATGAATCCACTTCATCTTCTTCCTCTTCTTCCACTAAATCTTCATCAGAATTTTCTGTTGATGTTAGCTCTAGATTCACTGTAATTATAATAAAAACATTGATTATTTTAAAAGAAACTCATTTCATTTTTATTTTAACTGCACACGCATACAATTTTCTAAAACCATTTCTTCGTTTTGTTCGAGCCACTCTCGTTGCATCTCGTGTGGCAGCATCTCATCTGCCGCTACAACTCCAAGTCGCTTGCATGCCGTTTTACTAGATTCACTTGCATTCGTTTTTGTCATTTTATCTGTTTTAGCATCGATTTTCAGTTCAATACACTCTTCAAGTGAATTTCAATTCATTTCTTCCACTTACACGCTTTCAACACAGATGACCGCATTTAATTATCACATTAGAATTAATGCACAATAAAAAGCAAACATTGCTCCACTTAACTTAACACTTACTTATTGCTAGCGATGCACTTTGTTGTTGTTGTCGTTTTATTTCTGAAGCTCGTCTTTCTATTGCACTGGTATGTTGTTTTTCTGGCTTCTGGCCGTTGAACGCACTCTTATCAATGTTTTCTAATTTTGAAACTGTTTTCTCTTTTTAGTTTGTCAGACCGGCTTCTGAAGTCAGGGTTGCTTTGAGCAAATTTTATATTTTACTACACATTTGATATGAGTGGTGAATTATTACTTGTGGTGATAAAATTTGAATGAAACTGAATTTAAAATTGTAATATATATAAAATTAAATTTGAAAATGAATTATATGTTAAATTAAATTAAATTTAAAATTGAATTAAATTTAAAATTGAATATAATAATTAAAAATATAATTGATTCATAATGAAGTTTTTAACTTTAGGTTTGTATGTACGTTATACCACTCTAATACAAATATATTTCCTAAAGTACTATTTAGTTACTAGCATATAAGTTAAACATGTTTCCACTGCAGCAAAAACTGATTATGTTAATGTAGTTAATATTGCGTTGTTTCATTTGACATAAGCTGTGAAATAGCTTGTGTATTTACATTTTACATATAAAACATATAACAAATACTTCAAATTTTCGTAATTTCCTTGTAAAGAAATTTATACTCAGTGGCGGAGCTTGACCAACTCTGCACGTCGGCGACACAGAATTGCGAGGCCCCCTTTATAACTCAGTTGTAAACTTTCAAGTTACATTGTTGAAAGTTTTATTGCTAATCAAATTAAAATAAATGAATTTTCCTACTTTTAGCCTCACTCAATTTTTTTTAAAATTATATCATAATTTGCGCCAGCTGCTATTTTTGCTTCAGTTTATAGAATTTCCAATGGAGATAGTCTCTCTTGGATCTTCATACTTTTCTAGTACGTCTTAATCACGTCTTTTAACTTTGAGTAGCTTCTTTCCGTCGAAGCTATACTGACTGGAACTGTGAACGTGAATCTGGTTACTATATAAACATTCGGGAATACTTCAAATAAAGTTAATGCCATTATCAAACCACATTGTTCAAAATATTTATTAAGTGCTTAGAATCCACAATCGGTAACTTTTTGCGAGGCCCCTGCGGGGCGGATGCCGTCGGCGGTCGCCGACATCGCTGACGCCTAGCGACGCCACTGTTTATACTCAAAGGTTGCATTCGACATTTTTCGCCTTATATTGGTTGATTTATTCATAATGAGTTTATATATATGAAATCTCTTTATGAGACATATAAATGAGACATATGGAAACATAATACCAATTTAGTTATTTGTTTGTGAAAGCAAATTGTCATTCTATTATTGCCAAGAAAGGTTAAGTAATACTTAAATAATATAAAGAATTGATGAGCACTTATATTTCTGTCTAACATGTAAAATGTTGGTATTGTTGTTAAATCCTTTATCTCGTTGAGAAGCATACAGCCTTATTGATGCATTTTCATCTCGTACGATTGTTTGCAATTAGTTTTATGCTGTTTTACGATTTCACAAGTTTCGGCATGCAGCTTTTAGATTCCAATTCAGTGCTCAACATGTAAAATATTCCACACATATTGTTTTAATACAATTAAAAATATCCATAGGTATAATTAAGATTAAAATTAATACATAATAATAAAAAATTTTTTATTTCAATTAAAATTATTGGCAATAAAAATATTTAGTTCAATATATATTTATTACAAACCTTTCATGCTTTGTGCGTAAAATTCTTATTTAAGAAGAAAAATCAATTTTATCTTAATATTTAACTTTACTATATTTTCACTTGAAAGATTAGATATATAATAGATCCGTTCGAGAAAAATAGAATAAATGAAAAAATGAGAATAAAAACACTAAATACCGCTTGAGAAAAGGAGATTATGTTACAACTAAAATACAAAAACGTTTTCAAGTAAAAACAATAAAGCAAATTATTTTGTGTGTTCGCTTTACAATTCAAAATTCGTTTGGTAGTACATATTAACTTTTTATTAAAATAGAAAATAGACAAATTAAATTAAGTTTTTTCATCATGATTGACTTTAAAACAAAATTAAAACTGAAACAAATTTATTTCGGTAATTATTTTTAATATATTTTTTAAGGAAATCAATACTTATATAGACATAATCAGTTTATAACAAATTTCTTTACAGCTTGTTATATTCCAAATTATTTAAATTTACTCACCACATTCAACAACCCTGATTTTTTCTGTGTTTTATTTTTATTGGTTATGTTATTTTGTTTTGATAATTTGCTAATAAATTGAACTTTCCATATTCATAAAAATATATCATAAATTAAAATGTCGAATAGTCATTTGTTTATGAAATCAGGATTTCCCCGTGCGCCTTTACAAAATGGTATAGGACGTTACGTCTGCCAACTGCAGAGAATTACGTTAAAATTCTGTAAAAATAATGGCTCCAGCAAAGGCATGAGGTTTGTTTTGTAATCACTTATCAATAATTTTTAAATAAAAATTTTACTTATACATTTCCATAGAGAATTTATTGAAAATCATTTAATTGATTTTGCCAAAGAGAATCCTGGCGTCGTTGTGTATGTAAAGCCTAGACGTCACCGTACCCCTGTTTTGGTTGGAGAATATTGTAAATATAAATCTATAAATAAATTACTATTCAATTGTTATAAATCAAAATTTTTTTTAGTAAATGGTGATCGCGAATGGCTTAGTTGCCGAAATTTAAACAAAGAAGAAATATCGAAGTGGGTGCAACTTTTCAAAACACAAAATGGCTCATCGAGTTCACTGAGGTTGCGTAAAATGTGGCATACTGATGTACCTTCTATACAAGGTCCATGGACACCATTCACTTTACGCCATCCTGAACAAAATTTCACAAGTTATCCTAATAAAGAAGCATCACAACCTTTAGATATTGAACAATCGGCAACAGAGAAACTAATTGAATTATTCAAAAAACAAAAACTTGCTGATAGCGAAAGTACAGCAGAAAAAGTCTTGACTGACAAACGTGCAGAATAATTTATTATAACTTAAAATATGTAGTGTATTTAAATACAGAAGCTAAAAAACTTTATTAAACATTTAAATTGTAATATTTTTTCATGCCATAAAAATTTAGTTTACCAAAAAAATTCAAATACAATCGGTTAACTGTTGGAAAGGCATATCCAGTACCTTAATGTCATGTGTAAGCTACGAAAATGCTTAAATTCTTCCAATTTTAATCGCTATATTTTAGTAAATGTAATATAAAGGATCATTGACAAATAATAATTTCTCTGCCCTATAAATCATCATCTCTTCAGACTTATATATATATGCTTCTTCCAAAAAAGATTACTTATAATATATAACTTTCATGTACCTCAATTAGTGAATTTTCGTGTTTTGCTACTACCTTTCTCGCAAGAACCCTAGTTTAGAAAAGTAGAGACTAAATCCATCCCGCCGAATTTAAGTAATTTAATATGTCTTTCGTATTCACCGATGAACAATCTGATAAACTATCAAAGAAGTATCTTCCTGAGAACCAATATCTTCTGGACGCTAAAGCCGGGCATTCACAGAGAAAATATGTTATGGTTTCTTTCTCCTGCGGGTTTCTACAACTTATGCAGTGTGGGTTATGGAGAATGCGCAGTTTCTCTGCGTGAGTTCCTACACGCCAATGACCAATACTAAAGTATAATGATTAAGTTTATCCACTAATAAGTTTTATAAATATATATTTTGCTATATGTCATGCATATTTTAGACAACAAGTTTGCATTTTGAAAAAAGATCGGAAAATATTGTCTGATATTATAAAAATGTAATAAGAAAGGAACAATTTGCTCAATAAATACTTTTTTCTTAATTAAAATTAAATCACATTGTTGATAATTCTGGGTTAATGATAATGACGCATATATAAACTTTGTAGCTGCCCTATTAAAATGGCATAATTTTTCCGCCTTCACCCAGGCTTGTACTCTATAAAAAATTGTCTAAGTTGACCTGTTTTGTTATTTCTGTTGAAGTGATTTTTATTAACCACTTATTATTATTGAGGATGGTCGGATCCGATATAGCCTGCGTTTTAGAACCATCACAATTGGAAACTGATGTGGTCACTCAAACCTTAAACGGTCTTTTGTTACGGTGTTGTCAAACACAACTTTTAAGGCATTTTTCAATTGTAAATATCATTAACTTATGCACTTTTTTGATCAATGCATTTAACTATAATGCGACAGAAGTCAATTAATTATTTTTATAATAACAAAATTAATTATGTTTTATATAAATTATTATTTATATTACTATACTTTTCTCTTCAATTTGTTTTTTTGTTTCAGTATTTTATTAGCAGAATTTAGCATATGCTATCTCTAAACTTCTGATTTGCAGTGTATAATATTATTTATAACAAAATTGATTTTATTTTCATTGCTTTTATTTATTAAATTAACAAATTTCAACTAACACATTTATCCCTAAAAAAAAAGACTTAAAATAAGACTGTATAACTTAAATACGTGTATATAAAATATTAATAAATATATCATAATAGTACTTTTATGATTATGCAAATAATTAATATATAAATGAATACATAGAAAAGTTTAAGAGAAGAAAGTTTTAAGAAAAATAATTGTATATTTTTAAGATAACATAATAATTTCATTAAATTTTTTTTTGATTTAATTTAAATATTTATTTAAATTATTTATTGAATGGGAAGATGATTTGAACAGTAGTTAATTACAACAAATTTTTTATTTTTTAATATATTAAGTTATTGGATGACCATACTCAAAAATCCAAACGCAGTTTGGGTGACCATACGCCAAGAAAGACTGTTTTGAGTTTTGTCCAATACTTATCATCAGTAGTCTTTGGTAATATTCTATTGATTTAATGATTCGTAAATAATTTTTTAGACTATAAGAAATAAGGTATAACCGTATGCAGTCACGTTTATTAATCAAATCCAACG